TTCAGAGCAGAAGGAAAATGACAAGTCTCCAGACACCAATCCTGAAGTCACAGAAGTTTACAATCTAAATGAGAGAGAATTCAAAATAGTGTCATAAAGAAATTCAATGATTACAAGAAAACTCAGAAAGACAGTTCAGTGAGCTCAGGAATAAAATTAATGAGCAGGAGGAAGACTTCACCAAAGAGACCGAAACTCTAAAAAAGAACCAAACAGAACTTCTGGCCATGAAGAACACAATTAATGAGATAAAAAATAATCCAGAGGGCCAGCCTCAGTGGCCTAGTGGTTAAGTTTGGTGAGCTCCGCTTTGGCAGCCCAGGTTTGGTTCCCAAGCACGGACCTATACCACTCATCTATCAGTGGCCATGATGTGTCAGCAGCTCATACAAAATAGAGGAAGGTTGGCAACAGATGTTAGCTCAGGGCAAATCTTCCTAAGCAAAAAAAGGAAAGAAAAATAATCTAGAATCAATAAAAAAATAGAGCTGACGTTATGGAGAACAGAATTAGTGATTTAGAGGATAGAAATATAGAAATGCTTCAGGTGGAGGAGAGAGAACTAAGATTTTTAAAAAATGAAGAAATTCTTCAAGAAATATTCAACTCAATTATGAAAAGCAGCATAAGGATTATAGGTATTCCAGAGGGAGAAAGGAGGGAGAATGGAACAGAGAGCTTGTTCAAAGAAATAGTAGCTGAGAACTTCCCAAACCTGGGGAAGGAACTGGACTTACAAGTATACGACGTCAATAGAACTCCTAATTACATCAATGCACAAAGACCTTCTCTGAGGCAAATAGTAAAACTGGCAAAAGTCAATGACAGAGAATGGAATGATATATCCCAAATACTGAAAGACAAAAGCTTTCAGCGGAGAATACTATATCCAGTGAAACCATCCTTCAGATACGATGGAGAAATAAGCTTCCCCAGATAAGCAGAAGCTGAGAGAGTTCATGACCACTAGGTCTCCCTTACAAGAAATGTTGAAAGGGGCCCTCCCATCCGAAACTAAAAAGCGAAGGTTTACAAAATGAGATAAAGAGAATCAGAAAATTGCAGCTCTCTAGCAGGAGAGGTTAGTAAACATTTAATTATAAAAGAGAAGGAAAGCATCAAAATAACTATAAACACGTCAGTTTAGTCACAAACTCCCAACACAGAAAAGAACAATTTGTGACAACAATAACTGAGAAGGGCAAGAGGAGAGGGAAGGAAGCTCTTTGGCTAATGGAGATACGAGGCTATCAGAAAATGGACTATCTCATCTATGAGATCTTTTATACAAACCTCATGGTAACCGCTAAACAAGAAATCAGAGCACAGACACAAATCACAAATAAAGAGAAAACTGAGAAACCCACCAAACTGAAATGGCAGACAGAAATGCAAGGGAACAGGAACAGTGGAGATATAGATCAGCTGGAAAACAAGAGAGAAAATGGCAGCATTAAGCCCTCACAGATCAATAATCACTCTAAATGGATTGAATTCTCCAATCAAATGACACAGAGTGGTTGGATTAAGAAACAAGACCCAACAACACAGTGCCTCTAGGAAACACATCTCAGCTCTAAAGACAAACAGAGGCTCAAAGTGAAGGGATGGAAGACGATACTCCAAGCAAATGGCAAACAAAAGAAAGCAGATGTTGCCATACTTAGATCAGACAAAGTAGATTTCAAGATAAAAAAGGCAGTGAGAGACAAAGAGGGGCAGTATATAATGATAAAAGGGACATTCCATCAAGAGGACATAACACTTATGAATATATATGCCCCTAACACAGGAGCACCAAAGTACAGAAAGCGACTATTAACAGACCTAAAAGGAGAAATTGACAGCAACACAACAATAGCAGGGGACTAACATCCCACTCACATCAGTGGACAGAGCATCCAGACAGAATGTCAGCAAGGAAATAGTGGACTTCAATGATACATTAGACAAGATGGACTGAATGGATACATATAGAACATTCCATCCGAAAACAGCAGAATAGACATTCTTCTCAAGTGCACATGGAACATTCTCAAAGATAGACCATATGTTGGGAAACAAGGCAAGCCTCAACAAATCCAAGATAGAAATCACATCAAACATCTTTTCTGACCACAATGCTATGAAACTAGAAATAAACTATAAGAAAAGGGCTGGTAAAGTCACAAATATATGGAGAATAAATAACATGCTACTGAACAACCATTGGATCAATGAAGAAATCAAAGGAGAAATAAAAAACATACCTGGAGACAAATGAAAATGAAAACATAACATACCAACTCTTATGGGATGCCCCAAAAGTGGTGCTAAGAGGGAAATCTATAGCAATGCAGGCCTCCTTCAACAAACAAAAACCTCAAATAAGTAATCTTAAACTACACCTAACAGAACTAGAAAAAGAAGAACAAACAAAGCCCAAAGTCAGCAGAAGGAGGGCAATAATAAAAATTAGAGCAGAAATAAATGAAATGCAGGCCTGCCCAGTGGCATAGTGGTTAGGTTGGGATGCTCCTTTTCAGTGGCCCAGGGTTCACAGGTTCAGATCCCAGGCATGGACCTAGTACCACTTAGCAAGCCATGCTGTGGCAGCTTCCCACGTATAAAATAGAGGAGGATTGGCACAGATGTTAGCTCAGCAACAATCTTCCTCAAGCAAAAAGAGGAGGATTGGCAATGGATGTTAGCTCAGGGCCAATCTTCCTCACCAAAAAAAGAAAAAAAAAGTTACCCAAAACAAAAACCTTTCAAGAAATAAATGAAATAGAGACTAAGAAAATAATAGAAAGGATCAATGGGATTAAGAGCTGGTTCTTTGAGAAGATAAACAAAATAGACAAAGCCTTAGCCAGACTCACTAAAAAAAAAAAAAAAGAGAGAAGGCTCAAATAAATAAAATTAAAAGTGAAAGAGGAGAAATTATAACAGATACCACAGAAGTACACAGGATTATAAAAGAATACTATGAAAAACTATATGCCAACAAACTGGACAATCTAGAAGAAATGGATAAATTCTTAGACTCATACAACCTTCTGAAACTGAACCAAGAAGAAACAGAGAATCTGAATGGACAAATCACAAGTAAAGAGAGTGAAACAGTAATCAAAAACCTCCCCCAAAAAGTCCAAGACCAGATGGCTTCTCTGGAGAATTCTACCAAACATTCAAAGTTGCATTTCTATACACTAATAATGAACTAGCAGAAAGAGAACTCAAGAATACAACACCATTTACAGTCACAACAAAAAGAATAAAACACCTAGGAATAATTTTAACCAAGGAGGTGAAAGACCTATACACTGAAAACTATAAGACATTATTGAAAGAAATCGATGATGACATAAAGAGATGGAAAGACATTCCATGTGCTTGGATTGGAAGAATAAGCATAGTTAAAAATGTCCATACTACCCAAAGCAACCTACAGATTCAATGCAATCCCAATCAGAATCCCAATGACATTCTTCAGGGAAATAGAACACAGAATCCTAAAATTCATATGGGGCAACAAAAGACCCCGAATAGCTAAGGCAATCCTGAGAAAAAAGAACAAAGCTGGAGGCATCACAATCCCTGACTTCAAAATATACTACAAAGCTACAATAATCAAAACAGCATGGTACTGGCACAAATACAGGTGCACAGATCAATGGAACAGAACTGAAAGCCCAGAAATAAAACCACATATCTACGGACAGCAAATCTTTGACAAAAGAGCCAAGAACATATAATGGAGCAAGTAAAGTCTCTTCAATAAATGGTGTTGGGGAAACTGCACAGCCACATGCAAAAGAATGAAAGCAGACCGCTACCTTACACCATGCACAAAAATCAACTCAAAATGAATTAAAGACTTGAAGGTAAGATGTGAACCGTAAAACTCCTAGGAGAAAACATAGGCAGTACCATCTTTGACATCGGTCTTGGCAGCATCTTTTCAAATACCATGTCTACTCACGCAAGGGAAATGAAAGAAAAAATAAACAAATGGGTCTACATCCCACTAAAAAGCTTCTGCAAGGCAAAGGAAACCAGGAACAAAACGAAAAGACAACCCACCAACTGGGAGAAAATATTTGCAAATCATTTATCCAACAAGGGGTTAATTTCCAAAATATATGAGGAACTCATACAACTCAACAAGAAAATAACAAACAATCCACTCAAAAAATGGGCAGAGGAGATGAACAGAAGAAGATACACAGACGGCCAACAGACACGTGAAAAGATGTTCAGCATCACTCACCATAGGGAAACGCAGATCAAACCTACAATGAGCTATCACCTCACACCCATCAGAGTGGCTATAATTAAGACAAGAGATAATATGTGTTGGAGAGGATGTGGAGAGAAGGGACCACTCATTCCCATTTGAGTGGGAATGCAAACTGGTGCAGACACTATGGAAAACAGTATGGAGCCTCCTCAAAAAATTAAAAATAGAAATACCAGGGGGCCCGGCCCGGTGGCGCAGCGGTTAAGTGTGCACATTCCACTTTGGCAGCCCGGGGTTCGCCAGTTCGGATCCTGGGTGTGGACATGGCACCACTTGGCAAGCCATGCTGTGGTAGGCATCCCACATACAAAGTAGAGGAAGATGGGCACGGATGTTAGCTCAGGGCCAGTCTTCCTCAGCAAAAAGAGGAGGTTTGGCAGTAGTTAGCTCAGGGCTAATCTTCCTCAAAAAAAAAAAAGAAATACCATACAACCCAGCCATCCTCCTACTGGGTATCTACACAAAGAACTTGAAATCAATACTTCAAAGAGATCTCTGCAGCCCTGTTTTCACTGCAGCATTATTCACAATAGCCAAGATGTGGAAGCAACCCAACTGCCCACCAACTGATAAATGGATGAAGAAGATGTGGTGTATACACAATGGAATGCTGCTCAGCCATAAAAAAGACAAAACCATCGCATTTGCAACAACATGGATGGACCTCGATGGTTTTATACTATGTGAAATAAACCAGACAGAGACAGACAAACACCGTATGATTTCACTCCTATGTGGAAGATAAACACATAGATAAACAGAATGGATTAGTGGTTACCAGAGGGGAAGCGGGTAAGAGGGTGGGTGCAAGGGGTAAAGGGGCCCACATGTATGGTGATGGATAAAGCCTAGACCATTGGGGGTGAGCACGACGCAGTCTACACAGAGACATATAATAACGGACACCTGATTACACAATGTTATAAACCAATATGACCTCAATTAAAAAAAAAAGAACAATAACAAGTGTTGGTGAGGATGTAGAAGGAAAAAAGAGAATGGACTAGGGCCTTTGAGGCTGAGCGGGGGAGGCCGCGGACCCCCGCCCTGGCTTTGGCGCCCCTGCAGGACCCGAGTCAGGTCTCGTTTTGGCTGCATCTCGGGGGCAGAGCTGGAACCGAAGGTGAGAACGACTCACGATGACAAGGTTCTGGGCAGTTCTCCCCAGCTTCCCATGCCTGATGTGAGCAGTGAGGGACCTCGCTCTGGCCCAGGCAGCAGCCACCACTCCTGCCTGAGCTCAGCTGCTGGAGCGCAGTTCGCAGCAGGCTCCCCCGGGACGTGTGTGGAGAGAGACGGCTCAGGAGCTCTGCGTTTCTCCCAGGCTCCGGGGACGCGGATGCTGCGGGGCCCCACGCCGAGGACCGCGGGGCTAGGACGGGCAGGCCTGCGCCTCTCCCTCCAGCAGGCTGAGCACACGGGCTGGACTAAAGCGGGGCCTCCGCCACCGGCCCGGCAAGGAGAATTCGGAAAAAAGCAAAGCTGCTCCTCTTGGGGCAGAGCGGCTGCTCGAGAGAAAGTGAGAAATGGTGGCTTTTAACCCTTACTTATACCATATAAAACAAACCAAGGTAGATTGTAAATGTAAAAGGTAAAACTAAAGCTTTCAGAAGAAAAAAAAATAGGGATAGGTAAAATTTTACTAAACAAGACGCAAAATGCTAACCACAAAGTATAATGGGTAAATTGGACTACACTCAAATGAAGACCTTTTTGTCAAGGATTTCATAGACTGCAACACTCCCGTCCTGCACGTGGGCAGGTGGAGACCGACCACCTGCCTAACCTTCCATCGGGGTCACTGGATGTCACGGCACGGGGCCTCCCTGAGCCTGTGGGCCCCGAAGAGGTGACCCGTAACAAGATCCTGCAACCAGACACCTCCAGGGACTAAGCCTGGAGTCCTTTTTAGATTTCAAATTGCTTCCTGGTGATAACAGAAAGAAGAATGGCATCGTGTCCTATTTAGAAAAAAAATGTGGATTGTTTTCTCTGCCCCGAGGCCTCACATCCTTCCGCCTCGTCCCACCTCTGCAAAGTCAGCTGCTAGCCCCCTGCCCTCTACCACCCAGCCCCATCGATCCCCTGTATGTACGTTTGTCTCCCCTGCATGGTCCTGAGCCCCATGGGGGCCAGGGCAGGGAGCGTGCGCCCTGCTTCCCACACAGCCCAGCCCCATGTCGGCCACCACACAGGCCCTCGGGGAACCCTCTCGTTGGACGAGCCAGCGAGGAGTTTCCTCACCTCTTTCCAGAAGATGAAGAGGGTCCCGCTGATGATGGCGGCAGCCGACAGGAGGATTCGCGAGATGAGAGCTCTGCTGAGGATCGTGTCCTGGGGGCTCCGCGGCGGCTGCCGGAGGGCGTCCTTGTCAACCGGCTCGACCCCCAAGCTGCTCAGAACAAAACGGGACACTTTGAAAAAGCCACAGAGAAAGGGTGGTTTTGAAAAGACGTGCGACGATTAAATAAATAAGGACCCCTGAAGCAGATGCGCTAGTTGGCAAATGACTCCGGGTTGTCCTGCCTGAACCTGGGGTGCTCCCAGTCTCACGGGGACCTCCCCGTCCTCACATCCTTGGACCTCTCCCTAACCGCCCAGACCCTCAGCTGCTTCCGGGGTGCTCCCCAACAGCCTGGACCCCATGGGCAGCCGTCTACCCCCTCCACCCTCATGCCTGCCCATCTCCAGCCATCCCCAAACACGGGGATGGAAAGCCACCCCCAGCGGCTGACCACACTGTGGTCCTGGATCCACGCCTGGTCACTCCTCATGCTCAGGCAATTTGTATCACCATGCGGGGACCCCCTCACCCCCCTGCCCAGGTTGGGCCTGGCCTCGTGCCAGCTGGCGTGGGTAAATGGGATCCAGGCCCCGCCACGGAGACCCCCCATCAACTGAGCAACAGTTGCCTTCAGCCGACTCTGAAACAGTGGGATTGATGCTGGACCCACAACAGACAGCGCGGGGGCACTGAGGAGGGAGCAGGCGGGGTGGGGCCCCACTCTGTGCAGACGCAGCCGCGGTCCAGCTGTGCTCACGGCCCCATGCCCAGGGAGAGCGTGTAGAAGAGGTGAGCCTCGTGCTGGGCCTGGAGGGAATAAAGGAGGACCCTCCTTCCCTCGGCAGCTGTCACGGTGACGGTTAAGTTAATCCCGGTAACGAGAGCCCACCCCATTTGAAACAGCACCTCTATGTGCTCAGACCCAGTGATGCTGGCTTGGTCCTGCAGGGCTTCCTGAATGCAAGCTCGCTCTTTCTCCTGCATCATTCAGCTAGCCTAGCCGTCCCTTCTCATTCATTCATTCAGCTGATAATTTACTGAGCACCTACGTGCCAGGAACTGTTGCAGGAGCCAGGGATTCTGCAGAGAACGAAGCAAAAGTCTTGCCTCCGTGAAGCTGACTCTCAAGGGGAGATGGATTATAATCAGATAAATAAGGAAATCTATGTATATTTTCCCCTCCAGGGAAAAATAAAGCAGGGTAAGGTGACTGAGAGTGAGGAGGCTGCTGTTAGAGTAATCCGGGAGGACTTCTTGGAGGTGGTGAGCTGAATGAAGAGAGGGATTGGGCCACGCAGGTAGCCCAGGGACAGCATTCCAGGCAGGGGGGCAGACAGTTCTGCCTGCATAGGTGCTTTCTCCAGTGTCCAGTGCATTCCACTCTGTCTCCCTCCCCCGACCCAATGCACCACACTTAAGTTTCCTGGGACTCCTGACAGCCAGCGACTGTCTTTGCCCATCTCTGTAGCCCCGGGCCCCTGCACAGAGAAGGGGTACAGTTAGTGGAGCCTGGCACAAGTGCTCCCGGTCAGCCTGGTGCCTCACCTCTGCGCGGGTGGCCCGTCCATGATGATGTTGATCCATAGGATCTGCATGGCATTGAGAGGGTTGGGCAGGTTGCACACAGTGGACAGAGCGATGAGGCTCAAGGCCGAGATGCTCCTGCGGGACACAAGCGGCAGACACACGGCACCGTCAACGGCCACTCGCCAGAGGCAGACGCAGCACCTGGCGGCAGTGGGGATGCTCGACTTACGTGCTCAGCTGAAATCGGACAAAGTTTTTGATGTTATGGAAAATCCCCTTGCCTTCCTCCACTGCATTCCTGCGAGAGAGCAGAGAGGGTTTGTTCACAGAGGGGGCCTGGCGGAAACGTGCGCTCGGCTCCGTCAGCTGCTAAAGGAAGTCATGCTGCCACCCAGGGGTGACATGCTCGGACCCTTTCCTCCCGTCCTCCCTGGCTGGCGTTCTCGGAGACACACCCGTAAGGAGGATGATGTGCTAATGGGTGCCATCAGCCGCTGGGGACAGGTCCCCGAGCCATGATCGCCCTTCTGTCCAAGGACTGTCAGTTACTCTGTCACCCGAGCCCGGGGCCCCAGCCGTTGCCCAGGCCTCTTGAGGGGCCTAACGTGCCTCGGTGGGTCACCCACGACAAGAGGCACAGCAGACCCAGTAAACCTGGTCCCTGGATCCAGGAGCGGCAAGAAGGGAGGGCTAGGAGGTTGAAGACATCAACTACTGTATTTTTAGAACACTTTTTGCAGAAGTCCTTTAAAAAACTTGATCTTGAGTCACAAACGTAGAGAACTAATTCCTCCTCTGTTTTACTAGAAAATTCTGCAAAAGAACTAAAACTGAAGGGCTATATATATATTAACTGCATTTTTTTCTTTTCCTCAGGACGATGTGTTTTAAGGATTCCCATGGTGAATCCATTAGTAAAGAAAAGATGCCTTTTATAAAGTCGATCAGCACACCAAACTTCAATGTGGGTTCAGATTTTTGGTATCAGGCTTAAGACAACTTTTCTCCCAGCCCCAATTACTGCGATTTACCTATGAGTGAAGTCTTAATTAGAACTAATTAAAATTAGAACTAGAGGAAAGATAAATTTATCCAGAGAAAAATACAGAAAAGTGAAACAGGAGAAAACAGATTTTTCAGAACCTCAGAACCTAGAGTTGGCATCTGTATTAATGCTTTGGGCATTTCTGTCCAATCTCTGTCAATGCATGAAACATACATAGTGACACAAACACAACACTCCACTCAAACTGAATATGTTCATTTTTAGCTTTTTTCACTTAACACTACAGTGTGAGCATTTTTCTGTGTCATTAAAATGTTTTTTTAAAACATGATTTTTTCTTTTTTGCTGAGGAAGATTGGGCCTGAGCTAACATCTGTGCCCATCTTCCTCTACTTTATATGCGGGACGCCTGCCACAGCATGGCTTGACAAGCGGTGCCATGTCCGCACCTGGGATCTGAACCAGTGAACCCCCGGCCGCTAAAGAGGAATGTGCGAACTTAATCGCTGCGCCTCCTGGCCGGCCCCAAACCATGATTTTTGATGGCCACATAGTCTGCCAGGCGCTTGCTGTTGGCACTAGGGCTGGTCTAGGATTCCCGTATAACCAGCTACCGTTCACAGGCCACATGCACCTCTTCTGTATGCCCCACCCCGCATTTTCCATCAGTGCCTGAAATGCACCCTCAGGCTGCAAATTACGGTTCTGCTGCACTTGTCTGTAACATTCCCCTGGGTGCTGCGTGCCACCAACCTCAGGGGGGCCCCATGACCCTGCTTTAAGTGGTGTGCGGGTCTGGGGACACCTCGTGTCTCCAGCGCAGCAGATCCCAGGGGGCACCTGGCTGCTCCAGGCGTTTTTGCAACTAAAAAAACCCTGAAGAGCCACTTACATGATGGCTGAGAAGTCATCGTCCACCAGGATCATGTTGGCGGCCTCTTTGCTAACGTCCGTGCCCGTCTGCCCCATGGAGATCCCGATGTCCGCCGACTTCAGGGCGACCGCGTCATTCACCCCGTCCCCCGTCATGGCCACGATGGCCCCCGACTTCTGCAAGGCCTTTGGAAAGAGGAGGCGACTGGAGGCCTGCAGCCTGAGGACCTTCCTTCTAGACCCTTCCTTCCCGCCTGCTGCCCTGCCTCTCACACTGCCAGCTGACAGCAGGGACCGCGCCTCTGGAGGGCGCTGGAGTTGGCTGGCCCGGGTCTGAATCCAGTTGCACCTGCACCGGCTGTGGGAACCGGGCCAGCCTTGGACCTCTCAACCTCAGTTTCTCCACCTGCAAAGTGGGAGCAGCAGTCCCTCCTTCTCGGGGCTGTCGTGAGGCCTCAGCTGAGACCACGGGTGTGATGGCCCGGCAACAGTAAAGGCTGGCATGTGTTGTCCATCACCATGGCCACATAATAACCGACAATCGTCTCCTGAAACCGCGCGGTGCCCAGTAAGTATTAACATTTCCTTTGAGGAATAACTTGCACAGAAATTTACTCTGTAGAACTAAAAAAACCCCAAAAATAACGTAAAAGAAAAAACACGACCACCAGCAGAGTTAAAGAGCCCATTTTCAAAGCGCGTGTGTGCAGGGAAACCAAGCACACGGCAGGACTCTCGTTCCAGCGCTTCCATTTTTTGATGCACAATCAGAAAATCACGTCAGTTCTTTACTCGGCACCTGCTGTGTGCCAGGCACTGTGCCAAGAGCTCTACAGTCCTGGCTTCGTCTAATCCTCTGGCCAACCTTGTGACTCAGCTGATGTCATTCATATTATCCCCATTTTACAGACGAGGAAACCAAGGCTTGGAGTTAATAACAAGAATACCCTGAAGAGCACTCGACTCACGGAGGCTAGCCTCTTTTTAGTTTTCCCTTGGCACCACTCAATTCCTGCTGTTTTCGGTGTATGTGGCCAAGGGCCCCCAGTCGTCCTCTCCCCAGAAGCTGGGACAAGGTCCCCACTGGTGTAGCCACCCTGGACCTAGAGAAGGAGGCCACAGCTTGAGGATGGCCGAGGTTCCTGCCAGCATGAGTCCTGGCCCACCCCGTGGGGCAGAGCCACTGACACGGCCACCCTGGCTTTACCCTGAGGGACAAACGAGGGACAGCCTGTCCCCTCACATGGCGTACCTTTATGATCTTGAGTTTATGCTTCGGGCTGGTCCTGAAGAAGACGGACACCTGGACACAGAGACGTGAAAGAGCCGGGTCAGTGCATGCAGAGCTGGACACAGGCCCCTCGGCCGGAGCCCTGGGAGGCCCCCACCTTCCGCACGCGGTCAGCCAGCTCGTCCTGCTCCATGCTGTCCACCTCCTCCCCGGACACGGCTTTCAGCTGCCCGTTGCACAGGCCGATGTTCCTTCCTGCAGGGGGAGGGAGGACCCGTTCTGAGGGCTGCCCCTGCCTCCACCCCCCCTGACCTCAGCCCCTGCCTTGGCCGCAGAGAATCCACAACAAAACCACGATGGCAACCGCATCCTGAGCACCTGCCACGGAATTAAGCTGCAAGAGAGGCCTTCTTATCCCAGCTTTAAAGATCGGGAAACTGAGAGGGAAGTGACTTCCTCAAGGTCATGGAGCTGGTAATTGGTAATTTTGTAAGCTGACATGATTCTGTCTGATTCCAGAGTCTATGCTCTTTTCACAGTACCAGGCTGCCTCAAGACAGAGGGGTAAGAAAACCAAGGCGTGACAACCCTCATAGCAGTAATAAGTAAACTGCAAGGAGGAGGGCTGTTAACCCTCTGCTGATGAAGAGCCTGAGGGTCAGAGTGGTTCAATGATTTGCTAAGGGCACACAGCTAGTGGCAGAAGCCAGCCTGGAACTGTACACCGGGAATGATGCTGCTTGTGAAGATGAAGTGAGATCACGGATGGAGGCCCCTGGCATACAGGAGCTTCTCAGAATACATAAGGTCTTCTCCCCTTTTGGAGAACCCGCCAACATTTCAGAGACAGCATCCTCAAGGGTGGAGCGCTGGTCCATGAATCTCAGCTCTGTTTTAAGTGCTTGGAAGGCAGGTGCTCGTCTCGAGGATTAGCCAACGGCAGCGCCCCGCTGGAAAGGACGGGCAGACCCCTTCTTCCTCACCCCCGGCTCTGCTCCCCGCTCACCTATCGCCAAGGCCGTCTCCAGAGCATCTCCCGTGATCATTTTCACAGACACGCCCGACTCAGAGAGCACCTGTACCGCTTCCTTCACGCCATCTCTCGGTGGGTCGATGATTCCGACGAGACCCAGAAATGTCAGTGCTCCCAGCTCGGGCCCAGAAGCCAGGGCCAGCACTGAGGAGAGAACGAGACCCGTGGAAAGTTCACTGGGGGCCGAGGGGGTGGGTTTTAGTCAGCCCCCGCCCCCATCGCGTCCCAGAGCCTCTTCTGTCTGCAAGGGGCTTGAACGTCCAGTTCCTGGACCACAGAGGGGAGGCAAGGGTCTGCCCTGAGGCCGTCAGGCTTGTGCAGGGCAGGGATCTTGATTACTCACCCCAAACCCAGAGAAATGCTGGACGACTGGCCCAGCAGGAAAGACAACTTTTGTCCGCTGGTGGCATAAAATCCCAGCCCCACCCAACCAGAGTGGCCACAAGAAAACCTGTGAGGTGGCACACGGGGGGGTTCCTGGCAGTTCTTGCCCTTCATTTGCTCTGTGCTCACTCCTCTGTCACCTCCAGCAGCTACCAAAGGTCAAGAGAACGTGTGGGAGGGCGACACAGGTGAGAGGACGCTGGCTGCTGGCTCCTCTTGGCCGTGGTTGTCTCAGCGGCACAGAAGCTGGGCCTGGCTCCTGGGGGCAGTGCTCCGAGGGGGGGTGGGGTGACAACTGACCTTACTTTGTCACCTATGACACTGGAGGGGGCTGTGGCCAAGAAGTCTCCAGCTGTGCCTCCTTCTTGCTCTGTCATAACACTGTGCCAATAACGTGGGCGCCGTTTGCCAATAATGTGGGCACTGTGTGCCAACGGTGTGGGTGCCGTGTGCCGGTGTCATGTGCTAATGGTGCGGGGGTCAGTCCTCCCCTCCCCACCCTGCCCCTGGGGTCCGCAAATCCTTGAAGACCCATCATGACTGTGCTCTCAGTCCCGGAAAGAGTCTGCAAACTCTCTGTGCCCAGAGGACCCCACTCCCGCCTCTGCTCCTGTCACCCTCACCCTCCTTGTCACTCTGTGGGGTCTTCATCCTTTTTAGGGGCTGGCGTCTGAAGCCTGCACCCCTCTGGGGGCTCCCACATCTGTGGGGCCTGAGTCCCTGGCGTGTCTCTGCGCCTCGCCCACAGTAGGCCCTCCATTCACACTCGCTGGGAGATGAGGCACGTGCCCTCTGCCTCTGCTCTGCTGTGGGCTGGGGAAGACCACGGGTCTCTCTAGCTCCAGTCCCCAGGATATACTTTTCCGGGAGGCAAGTTGGAGATGATCCATTATAAATAAGAGAGGATCGAGGCTTGACTGGGGGTGGAGGTGGAGTCCTGGCCCATCTTCACAGCTGACCAACCCTCATTGCATTCTCCTTCGAAGCCCAGAACGGGTCCTTGGGTTCCAACACTTTGCAGCCAGACAGGTCTGGGTTTAAGCGCTGGCTCCACTATGGACTAGCTGTGTGGCTCAGGCTGGTTCCTCAACCTCTCTGGGCCTTGCAGCAGCTCGGTGGGGATTCAGGGAGTGGTCTCAGTGCGGCACGTGGCAGGGTGCCCGGCACACGAGCGGGGCCCAACTGGCGGGAAGCGCCAGGAGCAGGCGTGGACTTAGAGGGCTTGTGGCCACGACTGACCTCAGCTGGCTGGTCAGCTGGCCAGGGGTCAGTAACAGGTGGGAGACATGCTTATTAATCTGTCGGTTCTTCAGTGATGCTGTGTCAGTGTCGGGAGTCGTGTGACGTGAGCAGATGCGTAGTTACTTTACAGCTTGTATCAGTTGTAACAACAACAGCCAAAGATGCACACGTTCTCTTCCAAGCCCCCCTCCTCCACAGACTTGCCCCCACAGCACCTGCTGCCGTGCCTGCCTTCTCCAGGTGGGGAAACCGAGGCACAGCCTTTACCTGCAGGCCTGTTTTAGACCTGGCACAGCACAGACCGTTCTGGGGGACCCTGAGATGTGTCAACGCCTCTGCTTTCGGGGGACACACCCTCACTCAGGAAGGGACGACAAACGGCTCGGTGTTCGCCAACCTCAGCCCGGCAGCTGCTCTGTCCTTGCTCTGCACGCTCGTCAGTGAGCTGCCGGCCACTTGTCATTTCTGTTCCCCGAGGGGGAAACCAGGGCGGCTGGAACCAGGCTGGCAAGGCCAACACTCCTCGTGTTCCCTGAGAGAAAACGAGTGTTCCAGGGTGTCTGTAAACACTCTGTCTGGAAACGGGCAGGCTGACAAATGACACCATGGGAAGCATGCGTCTAATGTCAGGCTGTCAGGGAGGGCGCTGGCCCCGGTGCGGAAAACTGGGAACAGCCAGGGAGTGGGAGGTCTGCCTCGATTTAAAAGCGCTCTGGGTTCTCCCGACAGTCAGCGACAGGTGCAAAGACCAACCAGGAAAACCGATGTTTCTGGTGCATCCCATTCGACCACCTTAGAAAACTCAGGAGGGTGGGCTCCTAGTCTTCTTGCACCCTGGGACACGCCTGAGCTAACAGGTGTCACTGGGGGGCTGGCCTGGGGTGGAGGCTCTCTATCTCTCATCTGGCCATGAATTCTACACTTGCTTGGCTTCCAGTACACACCGTCCGACTGCCATTGCGATCGGTCACCGTGCTGACTAAGGACCCCGCATTATGTGCTCGCAAGTTCAATATGACACGCAAACTTGAAGCTCGGGGCCCGAGCTGCAGGCACTCACCCCGCAGGCCGAGCGAGCCCATCCTCTTCTCCTCCTGCTGGCAGAAGGATCTCTGTTGGGGCGTCAGTGGCAGGGGGATGCCCCCGTTGTTGTACATGGTACAGTAACGGATCACTTCTTCAAAGGCCCCCTTCATGAAATAAATGTCTTCCTGCTCCTTGAAAAGGACAAATGGGAAAAAAATGTGCTGTCATTGGATGCTTCAGCCCTTCGTGACCGTCACCTCATCCACGCAGAGATGTTGACGGAGGGGTTTATAGTGGACTGTCATCACTCACCAACACAGGACAGGTCAGAGAAGCCACAAGAGAGCCACACGATGGAATACTACGCAGCCCAGACAAGGAGCGAGCTTGATCTGCACCTCCCCTGCTGTACGTTCAGTCCCCTTGTTAATGTCGCCCAGAGCATCCCATACATTTCTTTAATTGGTCACATCCCAGTCGGTGTCATGCCTTTAGGTATGTCATAGACTGCGAGATGTCTATTTCAGGTAGACTGTTGCAGGCACCATTTCCATCTCGTTCCCCCCTGCACTTGGCTCGTGAGAGTGAAGCCACATGAGTAGCTGACTGTTTGCTTGTGCATTTGTTAAGCTCTGTCCCGGCTGGACTCAGTGGCGGGCGCTGTGGTCATACTGGATCCCCAGCATCAGCCCAGTGCCCACCTGCTCACGGTGGGCCGTGAATGAGCTCGTGTAACTGACAGGGAAACATGCCCCAGACATCATTTTAAGGGAAAAGAGCAAAGTGCAAATGCTATACACAGCATGACCCTGTTTTCAAACTCCCATGCCACGTGTTGCGATGCTTACATTTAGAGTCTGGGACGCTCTCTCCCAGACTGAAGGGCTGGGGAGCGGGGTGGGTAGGGAGAGAAGAGGGCAGAATTACAAGGACCTTCCACTTTTTAAGTCACATTTCTATAATTTTTTCTGATGAGAATATATTACCATTGCTTTTGGGGGAAAAAAAGATTTGAAGGTATTCAAACATTTTTAAAAATTCATAACCCCTGTATGCACCCAGAATTTGTGTGCCCATCCACGCATGGCAAAGACCTGGGATAAACTGGCCGAGCCACCCACTGCCCCCAATGAGATGAGAAATCTCAGCATGGGCAAAACGTGAGAGATTCCAGGAGGCGTGGGAGAGAAGGGAAAGGTGGAGAAAAAGCTGGAAGGCAATAAAAAACTCTTTTTCTAAAAAAAAGCTTTTTTTCACTGTAGAAAATCTGGAAAGCTGCAGAAAATTAAAAAGAAAAAAAGGAAACAAAGTCAGCTGTAATCCCCAGCCAGGGGTAATCATTCTCGTTTGGTACATATTCCTCTAGTCACTTGTAACATGTGCACATGCGTGTATGTCCGTGTGCATGTGTGTCCGTGTGAGCTCACGGTTCACACCATTTGTGGTGGATGTTGGGATGCGCCTCCTGGATCCCTCTTGAGGGATGAAGGATTGTTCCCCACGGTGACAGCTGACGAGCTCATGTGTGTGAAGAACTCGCACTGGGATGGAAGACAAGCTGGCGATGGGGTTGGGGTCAGTGGGAGCTCATGGCTGCGCACTAATCAATAATTATATTACAGGCCGGCGAGTCTCCCAGCAGAGCGTGCTCGGAACCCCCAGCAAACAGAGTGCTGGCTCCCAGCCCTGGAATTTCCGGAGCCTGAGGATCTGATTTCCTAGCAAATTCCGAGGGGCTGCACGTGCTGCTGGCCCAGAGACCCCAGTACGAGAACCAGTGACTCAGACGAAAATCTCCGAAATGGACTCGAGAGGATCCAAGGTTTGTTGCTATCAACTGTATTTTCACATATCTGGACCCTTGAAGAAGCAGATAGGAACTCTAGACGCTTCTCCCTGACGGCTGCATCTTGCTTTGGGGGGGGGGAGGGGTAGGAAAGGGGCGGAGACACACTCACCTCGTTCTTGGGTCTGCACTCCACTGCCATCCACTTCTGCTCCGAACTGAAGGGGATCTCTTTTTTTCTCACGTATGAATCTTTAATGTCGCTTAAGTCCATCTGGGATAATAGATTGGGGCACTGTCGGTGAGTCTTCCTAAACCAATCTTTGTGCAACGTCAGTCCATTTAAAAGATTCATTACTCTAACCAGCTCGAGCAGAAATCTAAGCTAGAATTCAGCTAGAAGCTGAAATCTGCTCGAAACAAAAGCCCGAGGGGTTTCTGCCAGGAGGAAGGTTTCAGACTTGAGGACGTAACAATTTCCCAAAACGGAAAGCCTGGGTTAGTGGGGTGGCCTGCTGTCACAGCCTGGGGCCTTGCCCGGCCTGACATTCATTCGCTCTTTGATGGCTTTCTGGCCACTTACTTGACATCTCTGAGCCTCGGTTTCCCCAACTCTTACGGAATCACTGGAAAGGGGTTAGAGGCCTGCGGAATGTTCTGGAGCCACACAGCATCTCAGAGCCCATCTCTTCCACCAGTCAGCAGACGGCCTGAGGATGTCTGGGGCCATTTTCTCCCATTGTCACTAAGCTCCCCCATTCCTCATTCGCTCAGACCGCCCGAGATTTCCCACCTTCATTGCCAGGGCGACCAAGGCGCCCTCCGTGGGCTGTCCCATCACGGTGTTTCCTCTGATGATTGCGTTGTTGGCGACACAGCCTGCCTGGAAGGGGGGATTTCCCACGTCTTTAGTTAATACTTGGAGCCAGCACCCGTCAGGGTCCTGGGCTCACTCAGGCACGTGAAAAAGTCAGACATGGACAGCTGGACCCATTTTTGTGGGAACAAGTGTGGGGTGCCGGCGAGTGACCCCAGTGGGTGTGGGTTTCTGTTTGGGGTGACTAAGTGTCCTGGAATTGGACAGTGGTGATGGCTGCGCAACGTTGTGTGTATACTAAACCCACTGAACTGCACACTTTAAAAGGATGAATTCTGTGGTATATAACTTATACCTCAGTTAAAAATAATAATTAAAAAAAGAAAAGGGGGCTGGCCCTGTGGCCGAGTGGTTAAGTTTGCGCGCTCTGCTCCAGTGGCCCAGGGTTTCACTGGTTCGGATCCTGGGCACGGACATGGCACCGCTCATCGGGCCATGCGGGGGTGGTGTCCCACACAGCACAACCAGAGGCACTCACAACTAGAATATACAACATGTACTGGGGGGCCTTGGGGAGAAGAAAAAAAAGAGAGGAGATTGGCAACAGATGTTAGCTCAAGTGCCAATCTTAAAAAAAAAAAAACAGGGGCCAGCCCTGGTGGCACAGCGGTTAAGTACACACGTTCTGTTTTGGTGGCCCGGGGTTCACCTGTTTGGATCCCGGGTGTGGACATGGCACCGCTTGTCAAGCCATGCTGTGGCAGGCGTCCCACATATAAAGTAGAGGAAGATGGGCACGGATGTTAGCTCAGGGCCAGTCTTCCTCAGCAAAAAGAGGAGGATTGGCAATAGATGTTAGCTCAGGGCTAATCTTCCTCAAAAACATATAAATAAATAAAAATTAAATAAAAATTAAAAAAAAAAAACAGAAAAGGAGAAACAAACACAGGAAAAGAGCATGGAGGTGGATCCCAGCTCCCTCCGTCAGTGGCTGGGTGATCTTGGGCACTCACACCCCCTCTCTGAGTCCCCTGTTTCTTCATCTGCACAGCTGAGATAATAGGGTCGCTGTGGTAATGAAGTGGGCCCCTGGAGGTGGGACTTCCACAGACTCATTAAAAATCATAAGACGAGAGCTCGGTTCAGACCTCACGGAGGGAGGGCACGGCTATGTGGGGAGGAGCACATATCAACGACAGCAGTAGGCAGCGCCCAGCGCAGGCGTCTCTTTAAAGCCCTTCCAGCAGGCAGCAAGGAGCACAAACAGCTCCAGCTCTTGCCTTCCCTCTGATTTGCCATCTGTTTCCGGGCCACTGTGACAACCTGACCCCTGGGTGTGGCCCTGTCGTCAGCAAGAACCACTTGGTCCAACTGCTGTTTCTCTGTCCAGAGAGAGCCCCCATCAGCTCCGCTTTACATGCGTATTTCCGCCGTGGCGCCGCGGACACTTACCTCCACCAATTTCCCGACCGAGACATTGCAAAACCCCTTAATGACTTTCTTTGACGGTAAAAGACAGACGGTCCCTTTGCCGTTGTACCCAACTCCGCTGACCTGCGGGGGCAGAGCCGCAGAAAGGAGGTCACCCAGAGTCAGAAATCCGCTCCCCCGGTGGGCCCATAATCTCTTTTTTGGGGATCCCTCCCAAGGACATACTCCTCCCCACGAACAAGGCTTCAAGCACGAAGATGCTCCCTGCAGGATTAAGTTCCAATCAGAATACCTCGCCGACTCAGGGCCCTGCTCCAGTAAATCGCAACGGGATATTCTGCAGCCGGTAACGATTATGGTTACGAAAATGAAGTAACAGCATAGAAGAGTGCTTATGTTCTGGAACACGGCTGGGCACACTTTTATCATAGGGCCAGAGAGCGAATATTTCAGCCTTTGCGTTCCACGCAGTCGCTATCACAACTACTCAACTTGCCTTTCACGCCTTAGCGGTGTGAAAGGAACCGGAGACGAAGACGTAAACGAAAGGGTGTGGCAGCGTGCCAATCAAACTTTATTTACAAAAATGCACACTGGCCCCCGGGCCATCATTGTTGCCCCCTTGGCCTGCAAAGTTTTGTGAAAAGAATAGCAGGATACAAAATCGCACACTCAGGGAGCTCACAGCTGTGCCGAACGTATGAGAGAGACTGAAAAACACAGATAGACTCCTCGTGGTCAGCTGATTGTGTGAGGTTATGGGTGATTGTTTTCTAGCTTCTCAATTTTGAAATGTGCTTATTATGGAAAGATAATTAAAAAATAAAGATGGCTACCCTAAATCAGTCATGTTCTTTGCTGCTATCTGTAGCAAGGAGATTGTCCAATAACCTATATTTGTTTCTCACCGTTTTCTAGAAGACGTCACGTGCTTTCTCTGGGAGGGAAAGGGTCTGCAGGGCATACCTTTGTCTCGAACCTTCTAAATCGCACAGGACTCACCTCAGCGTGGAGCCCATCAGACGTTACAAGCTGGGTGACAGTCATTTCATTGGCAGTCAGAGTCCCTGTCTTATCAGAACAGATGACATTGCAGCAACCTGGCAGAAGAAAATATCAGAGTTTGCAGGAAAAAGAAGTCATTACCGTCAACTCAGAGGCTTATGGGACAACCAGGGTGAATTAACATGGCACCAAAATATCCATTCAATCCAACTCACAAGAATCCAGCCAGCTGGAGTCACTCACCCAGTGTCTCCACGATGGGTAACTTCTTCACAATGACCCGCTTCTTGGCCATCCGCAGCACTCCCAGGACCAGCGTAACCATGACAACAATGGGCAGACCCTCTGGGATGGTGGCCACAGCCAGGCTGGATCAAAAGGCCAGACAGGTCCCCTTTAACACATGCTCAAGGACGATGTGAATCCCAACTGGGCTGGCGACACTTTTACCTGGTGGAGCTCGTCTCTGGTGTCCCAACGCCCCCATTCTGTTCTCTGTTTCCAACGCCATGGTGCACCTGCCTCCTCCTTCAGCATCCATTGCTCTGAGTTCTCACCCTACAAAACCTTGCCTTTGGGAGGGGACCTCCCCTATGAGGCATCCACACTTTAGTGTGAATTAGTCTGTCAGTTGTCTTTGTCTCTTTAAGTGCTTTTGCATTTACATTGTTCTCATTAGAAAAATCTTGGGCCCTATGAAAGGAATTTCCAGAATCAGGCAATAAGAGGGAAGTGGAATCTTTTTGTTCAGAATGTCCTCCTCGGGTCCCTTGAATTTCACTTTTCATTGGTCCAATGGTTTAAGGCACTTCCCGTAAGGAAGCCAGACGAGGAAATTAAAGTTAAGTGAGGTAAAGTGACATAGCTCTGCCTTTGCCTGTTGCAGCAGATCTGTTTTGGGCATCTCATCACTTTTCTATTCTCTCTCCTACTCTTTCTGTACCATGTGACCCCGCCCTCCCATAGTCACGGCTGATTGGATTAGAGGCAAGCATGTGACTCAAGATGAACCAATGAGCCTCTCTCTTGGGAATCTGAATGAGATTGAGCACAGCATGCGCTTCCTGTGGGTGGTGTGTCAACACCGGATAGGCTGTTAAGAGGGACTCCTTCTGCCTCAACTATGGCTCCAGGACATTGGAGCTGACTGATCCCGCAGGCCACACTCCTGAGCAGGCCTGGCCCAGGCGGAGGGTGGGTTCTGGATTTTCCGCTGACCTCAGGCCAATGAGGGCAGCTGAAGGGTTGAAGGGCAGGCTGGAGCAAGTGAGAGGGGGCCTTTGTGCAGAGCAGTGCCATGAGCGTCCCCACGCCAAACCCCAGCACAGCTCACCCTCTGCAGTAAACACCCAGCAGGGCCCTGTAGGCATTTGGTAAATATTTACTGAAGGAACAAACGAGAACGAGTGAACATATGGCAGGTGCCGAGAGCCACGCTGGCCTAGCACACGCCAATCGCTTGACATGGGCTGTTCATACTCAGAAGGCCTGGCTGCTGGATGCCCGTGCACCCAAAGTCACACACGGCTATCACAGTTCACGAAATCAAGGACGCTGCTGATGGGGGAGGGCAGCGTGATCTCGTGCCCCACTAAGAAAGAAGAGATACTACCTGCCAGTCAAGGGCACGGTGCTTCCCCAGCACATTGCTTATCACATGCAGCCGGACCTCAGAGACGTTAAAGCATGAAAAAGAACATGCATCTTTGCATCAAAGAAATACGGTACGTGCATGTGGCCTTTCGCCCAGAGACAATGGAGCATTCAGGAACAAGTTCTATAAACCAAGATTATTGAATTTGGTCAAGGGACTGTGACCAGTTTCTATGGTGACAGCAAGAAGACTTCCTCGGTTTTATGACTCAGGCCGACGAGCCCAGCTCAGCAAACATTTGCAGAGCGTTATGATGGGGACCTTCCCCACGTGGCGTGGGAAGGGCGGGTGAGCACGTACCTGGATGCTTTCCCCATCATGAAAAATTAATCCGCAAGCTAATAAAGATTAGCCTGGACCAGGAAAAGCAAGTGTCCCTTGGATCGTCTCGAATGTCATTCTAGGCAGGGGGAATTAGGACCGTTCTAAAGTTTCTAAAAGAACCATTCTCATTTTATTTATTTTGGAGAATCTCTTCCTGGCCTTCTATCCCACCATTTCTAACTTCTGATTCGGTGCTTTCGAGTGACTTTTGTTCTGCTAAAAATGGAAAAAGCTCATCCTTTCCAAGTCAAGTGAAACGAACAGAGTAAATTTTCTCTTGGTCGCAAGTTTCCCACGGACCAGGCGGGGTGAATGCGACGAAGGGCATGTTCAGACAGGGGGTCAGAAAGGACCAGTCAATTGCCCTGGGGGGGAGGGCGGGGATGGACATGGCGCCTTTTTCATTATTTACCTGGAAATTTTTAATAGTCTTTTTGGCTCCTGGAACTTTCCGTGGTTACAGAATGGGACGGGAATGCACCATTATTTCAGGAGTGTGTTAGCATCATGGCTTCTGAGCACTCTGCTTTCCTGGGAGCCCCCAGGGCTCCGGCTTCTCTGTCCCTCTGCCGCTACACCTGCCTCTGCAGGCTTCGTCCGCTGAGCCCTCTTCCTGCCTCTTGCTGGAGCCCTGATTGGGGTAGTTTCTAGTCACAGTCTCACTGCTCAGCGTGTGCTCCCTGATCAGGCAGCATTCCACCCCCTGGGAGCTTGTTAGAAATGCAGAGTCTTGGGCCCCACCCAGACCCACCGAGTCAGGCCACCGGCAATCAGTGTTGAACATGCTTCCCCAGGGGCCCTTATGTTCTTAGGCTAAATTCTGAGAGCCAGCTCGGGTGGCCTAGCGGCTAAAGTTCAGTGCTTTCACTGCTTTGGTGGCCCGGGTTCAGTTCCTGGTCGTGGAACGACACCACCCGTCTGTCAGTTGCCATGCCCCGGTGGTGACTCACACAGTAGAACTAGAAGGATTTACAACTAGGATACACAACTATACACTGGGGCTCTGGGAGGAAGAAAAAAAGGGAGAGGAAGATTGGCAACAGATGTTAGCTCAAGGCCACTCTTACCCTGCAAAAAAGAAAAAAAAAAAAAAGTCCGAGGGACTCTACAGGGATCCACTCTCCCAGGCTGCCCTGCCCGCACCTCAGACTCCACCTTCTACCGCACAGCCAGCTTCCCCTCCCCATCACCCCCTCTTCCCTCTTGTCTGTCACAAGCTGGGATCCACTTCCGTGGCCATCAGTCTCTGTGTCAAGAACGGCCAACGCTTTTCACCTCTCTGCTCCAAAAGAGGAATCGTAACAGCCTGGCATGGCATGTTGAGAAGGGTCCTGATGACATGACTAGAATCAGGAGAGAAGCAGAAGCTTCCCCAGGATCTGTCCCCTAACTGACTCCACAATCTCCTCTGCTCACGGAGCCCATCCCGTCTCCCCCTGGCGTCCCCCAGGTGCACCATGCTGGGTCCCACCTCCGGGCCTTTGCCCAGGCCATCCCCTGCCGAGCCCAGCCGGCTCTGCTGTCAGTGGGCTCCTTCTCACCTCTCCAGCTTCCACTCCTCAGAGACACCTTCCCTGGCCACCTTTTCAGGGCACGCACCTTCTGATCTCCCTTTTAATCTCTCTCCCTGCAATTGTGTCCTTTGTAGCATTGATGATAAATTGTGATTATTTTATTAATGTTCACTAAAATTGTTTATATTTACTCTCCCCACCAGCCTGCAAACTCCGTGATCCAGTTCTATCTGGATGATGCAAACAGTCAACAGAAGCCCAACAAACACCTGTAGGGCAAATCGACAGCCTTGCTGAGCGCTGGGGGGAGGGTAGGCAGTGGGGTGGTGGCATGTGGGAGAGTTCCTATCTGCCCGAGAGGCAGCAAGCGGCATTGACAAGGACGCTGGCTTTCGGTCAGAACGCAGTGGGTCTCAACCTGTCTCTCCCGCCCCCCGATTCTGTAACTGTGGGCAAGCATGTGAGCCGACACCTCAGTTTCCCCATCTGTGAAGTGGAGACCGGTTGCCTCACGGAGCTGTGCAGTGATGAACTGGGGGTCACACGTTCTGCTCATGCTTCCTCCTCTTGTTACAGCACCGAGACCCCTGGGCACGCCCCCTCCCGCTCCTTGAAGACTCTAGAACCGCTTTCCTAGTGCTCTCTCCACTTGCTTCACCTTCTTGGCAGCTTCAGCATCCACGTGGATGGTCCTCTCCACCCCTGCTCATAAGCATCCTCGCAGAGCTGTCGATGGTCAGTCACCCTTCTGTGTGGGATCCAGCTGTGACTCTCACTGGATCCCTCTCGTGCTCAGCTCGTGAGGATGGTTTCTTTTTCCTCTACACCCTCGCTCGCACGCAGCTGAGGCTATAAAGTCAGGAAACCCCGGTGGACTTGAGATCATGACCTCGTACGTTCAGAAGAAAACCTTGGGCTCTGTGATCTGCAGCTTAGAAGCCCTTCCTCGTGGCCACTGGCAAAACGCAAAGATGAGCCTGGCACGTTTCAGGGAAAAAGCCTGAAATCCAGCAGGACCGCCCATATAGCACAGTGGCCTTATCTTCAAGGTTCCAACAACTTTGTGGGGAAAAGCCCAGACCCCAGTATTAACCCATTTATTTATAGATTATTTAAAGCTAAAACGTGAGGACAATGAACTGTTCGTGCAGCTTTTGGTTTCACACGGAGAACTATCTTTTTAAGTATCCTGATGTGGTTTGAATGTCTGTGTGTCTCCTTAGAGGAATTCTTTTTTTTTTAAGGAAGGAGGTGGACTTTATTTTTTGGAATTAGTCTGAGATGGGGTTTTCCAAATGTCTGTCATTGCATTTTGCTTTTACGGTTTTTGTCATGTGTGTGTACCTTCTATATTCTTTTTTGTGTGTGTGTGTGAGGAAGATTGGCCCTGAGCTAACATCTGTTGCCAATCCTCCTCTTTTTGCTTGAGGAAGATTGGCCCTGAGCTAACATCCATGCCAATCCTCCTCTGTTTCATATGTAGGATGCTGCCACAGCATGGCTTGATGAGTGGTGTGTATGTCTGTGCCCAGGATCAGAAGCAGAGTGCGCGAACTTAATCACTCCACCAGCGGGCTGGCCCCTGGGTACCTTCTGTATTCTAACTGCATAATATTCTCTAAACCAATTTCACTTTTCTCTTAAGTTTTATTCTTTCATCACCCAGGATCTGGCGTTAATGAGATTTTGTTTTTTAAGGAATGGCAAAGTGTCTAAAACCAGACACAGACTTTTCCAGTTTCCATTCATTCAAACAATAGTCAGTGAACGCCTCTATAATAGGACACACTCCTGCCCAGGCGTGCATTTTGCTGGCCTAGCCTTCAATCAAGGCACACAGTGCAGTGTGACTGAAACACAAGGTCCCTGGTGTTTTTAAAGACCTGCACCCGAATCTCTGCTATTGCTAACTGCCAGGTCACGGGCACACTCGTTTATACACAGTACCCTGTACCACTGACGTACCCTCCCAGCCCTTAAAGCAAGGTGCTCTGGCCCACACCGGTCAGCACTGGGGAAGCCGCAGCCCTGACCTGTCCCAGCCCCCCCGGGACGCCCGGTCCAGTGTGGGGGCGTGACTGTAATTGACTGCGATGACACAGCGCCGTGTCAGCAAACAGTTTGCTTTTTACATATAAAGTGGAAAGGCTCTAAGGATCCTCGTCATCACAGCTTCCTAACGACCTCCTCTATGTTTTCTTTTGTTTTTTTATTGGTAATTCCCATACCATAAAGTTCACCCTTTTAAAGTATATAATTCAGCGGTTTTTAGTTGACGCAGAGTTGTACAAACATCGTCAACGTTAGAACATTTTCATCACCCCCGAAAGAAACCCCATCACTGTTAGTAGTCACTCCTCGTCCCCCCGCCTCCCCTGGCCCAGCCCCTAGAGCCCACTCGTCTCCTTTCTGTCTCTATGGATGTGCCTGTGCTGGACATTTTATATCCATGAAGTCATATAACCCGTGGTCATTTGTGGCAGGCTCCCTTCCCCCAGCATCACGTTCTCAAGGTTCATCCACGTTGTAGCATGTTTCAGTGCTTCGTTCCTTTTCGTGGCTAATATTCCACTGTATGTTGTTTATTCATTAGTTGACAGGCATCTAAGTATGTGTCCATCATGGGTTTGATATACTCAGTATATATATTTTTGCCCACAGACATTAAAATAATTTTCCACGTATCACCTAAACCATCTTGCAGACACCAAGACCATGGCGGGGGCGGTCACCCTCCCAAAGCACCGGGCTTGACAGGAGCCTAGAAATGTGTTGCCTTCTCCGTGTCCCAGAAGGGTCACCTGCCACCCTTCCACCAGGACACACCCAGTCAGTGACACTCCCCCGCACTCTGCCTCCCTGGCCTTGGTGAGCAGCGTGGAAAAGCCACAGCAACGTCACGCCACTGCACGGAGCTGGGCTCCCCCCTTCATCTCTGTATCGCCCACTGGGACCCGGCAGGGGCAGGGGGACTGTCGCTTGTTAGAGTTGCCATGTGGAGGAAGGCAGGTTCCCTGGGCTTGAAGACAACGGCCCTGATGCCTAGCCCTGCCATCAACTGTGTGGCCTCCATGACATGCCCTTTGTCCTCTCCTCCAGAAAACAAGGAGGCCTGGACTGAGTTCCTGACAGATAATAAGCAAACACACACTGTGGCTATGTGCTGTCGCGGGCACCCGCCCATGCTAACTTGTGTTAGCCTCAGCACGACCTGGGAGGGGCTATATCATCACTCCCATTCTACAGAGGAGCAAACTGAGGCACAGAAAGTTAAGAAGCTTGCCCAAGGTCACGCAGCTAGTAAGGGGCAAAGCTAGAATTTAAACCTAGGCTGGCTGGCTCTGGAGTCCACGCTCTTAGCCAGAAAGATCCAAACCCACAGGCAAAGAGTGACGGGAACAGGAACTCCCTATGGTCTGCTTTCATTCATGTTGCAGGCGTTTGCTGGGCCCCGACCTGTCAGACAACGTGCTGCTGGGAGGCTGAGGCTGCGGTGAGGAGGGTGCAGCCGCCCCACACCGTTCCCGCTCCCAAATCTCCCCGCCTCCTCCGGCTGCACTGACCAGGGGAGAGACGGCACGGCGCCCTTACCTGACCCCGATGGTGAACATGGTGAGCAGCTGCTTCCCTTGCAGCCACCCGGTGAGCATGATTAAGCCTGGGGAAGAGAGCAAAACAAAACAAAACAATATACACACACACACACACACGCACGCACACAAGTACATTCTCCACCATCCGAAGGCATTTCAAACTCATTTCCTTAGACAGTTTACAGGAATATAGACACAGGACAGCGGTTAATAACCCCAAGGGCTTGCAACCCCTCTCCTTTAGCTTTTTAAGGAAGGTCCTTCCACGCCCACAGAAAAGAATGGTCCTACTTTTTCAGGGAAGGACCCAGCCAGGTCAAGTTAAAAACACAACCACCCAGTTTATTCCGGGCCGTCTGCAGACATTTACAGATGACTCCAAAGGTCTCCTCCGTGCCACACACACCCGGGACTTCCCCGGGGGGTATCTGATGTGGCAGACGACAGCTGCTCCTGTACTGGGCGGAAGGGCCACTGTTTCTTAAATTATTTTATCCCACCGTGTTCTTGATTAAATCTATTCCCTCTTCCATTTTCTCCTTCATCATTACCCAGTCTTTACTCAACCTCAGGCCCTGTGCGGGGCACGGACACATGGACACCGTCGGAGGCGGACCCTTGAGACAGAGAAGTGGCAGGAGTCATGCTGGGACCCATGAAAGTGCATGAGATGTCTCGGTAATAGGGACAAGTTCTGGGGCCATCAGGGGCAGCCTCAGTTTCCTCATCTGTAGAGTGAGGATAATGACCACGCCTTCCTTAAGGGGTTGTCTCAGGATTTAAGATGTCACAGTCCATTGGAGGTGCTTACTGAGCACAGCTCCTGGCCCACAGTAAATGGCCGTCATTAGCTGCTGCCGCCATGGTTATTGGAAGGGGTGAGAGGAAAGTGGGAAGGCGAGGGGAATGGTCTGTTGACGTCCTTGGAGGACTTGCTAAAGAACACCAACTTTGGGGCCGGCCTGGTGGCACAGCGGTTAAGTTCACACGTTCCCGCTTCTCAGTGGCCCGGGGTTCGTCGGTTTGAATCCTGGGTGCAGACATGGCACCCCTTGGCAAAAGCCATGCTGTGGTAGGCATCCCACATATAAAGTAGAGGAAGATGGGCACAGATGTTAGCTCAGGGCCAGTCTTCCTCAGCAAAAAAAAGAGGAGGATTGGCAGTAGTTAGCTCAGGGCCAATCTTCCTCAAAAAAAAAAAAAAATCAGCTTTGTTTTGCAGGGAATGGGGAGCCAGGGCAAGTTTTGTGCTGGGCAGTAGTGGGGTGTGTGTGTGTCTGTGTGTGGGGGGTTCTCAAGATCTGATTCATAATTATTATTATTTTTTCATACTATGATTAGCAACAGAACTCAGTAGTCACATGAAATCCTAGCTGGAACCCAAACAAAGCCAGATGCAAAGGATTAGAGGGTGGAAGGTCTGTTAGAAATGGGGGCGGGGGTCCACCCACTAGGATGCGACCCTGCCCTGATGGCCTCCTTGCAGTGAAAGGTTGGAGCTCGCTCACAGGGGCTCAGGAGCCACTTGTGCACATCTCTTCCCAAATCCACGTTTGGTCACTCCCCTCTGGGAGCTTGAAATTGGCCGTTTACGCCACGGAAACTGGCAAACGCTCCTTGCCCCTGGAAAGCCAGTAATTAAGCATCTGCCAGCCACCACTGCTTCCCTGCATCTCCTCCTGGGTCCTCTAGGGATCCATGGAACACTATTTCAAAACTCCCGCTCTCCTAGAACATTCTAGAAATATTTATTAAAAAGAAAAAGGTCTAAGTGGTATCATGGGACTGACCACAGACGTGCCAATTTCACTAAGTTCTAATATAACTTGAGGAGTAACGGCTCACACAAGGCAGTGACCTTGAAGGACCTCTGAGTCGGAACTTTTTTTTTGGACAAATTTCATCTTGTGGAAAGGCCTGTTCATACCATCTATTTGACAATCTGCCTTGAAGCGCAGCTACTTGACATCTGTTCTTGGGGCTACTGAGACGGAAGGAGCCGCAGTCTCCTTCTGGGGGGCCCAGTCACCTACAGCAGGTGCTGCAAGACCTTTTCTATAAACAGGTCAGATAGCAAATAGTCTCGGCTTTGTGGGCCACATGGTCTCTGTTGCAACTCGGCCACTGTTGCGGGAAAGCAGCCACGGATAATGTGTGAGTGGGCGTGGCAATAAAACATTATTTATGAACACTGAAATCTGAATTTCATATAACTCCCATGTCAGTGAAATATTCTTCTTCTTAATGTAAAAAATATTCTTTGCTTGTGGGCCATACAAGAAAGGGCAGCGAACCCAATTTGGCCTAAGAGTCATAGTTTCCAGACCCTGCTCTAGAATGCCAAAAGGGCCTCCGGGCAGCCAGGGCCATGTGGGCATTCTGCTCTGCCAGAGACGCCTGACCGACATGCAACCCTGAGGATGGCAGATGAATGGCGGTGCACAGCCGCTTTCCCCTCCTGTGTCCACGACAGATGTCACTAAGCCATCACAGACCTCTTTGCCACCAAGCCTGAGCACGGCCTCAAGATCATCTCACAGCCCAGAGCCCCAGAGCTGTGATCAGACTTGGCGGGTTAAGATAAAACCCATTTTCCATCACAGCTCCAGGACAAAGTAGGGCGGAGAGGAGGGAAGAGAGCATAGAGCTCCTTACAAACAGTAAACCTAGTGGTTTAGCAAACTCTGAGCACTAAACCCAACGCTGAAGCCTGGAAAGGAGACTGGACGTTGGAATGTTGGGAAGGGTGGCCTGTGAGGACAGAGAGAGCAGATCTGTCCCCAGCACGACAGAATTGAGAGCCCTGACTCCATGCCACATCCTCGCAACCACTTTGCAAAATTTACCACCTCTTACAAGTTGTAAAGGAGTGGGAGGTACCTTCCATGCCTTTGAATATACCCTTTGCTCTGCTTAGAATCCCCAGTCCTCTCTTTTTTCACTCGGCAAACTCCTACTCATCCTGCAAGACCCAGTTTAATATCACCTCCTCCTGGAGCCTTCCCAACTCTCCCAGATTAACGAGATTAACTGCTACCTTCATGTCTCATATTTGTTCAGATGTCTCTCCTCCATTCTCCTGGGGCTCTTCAAAGAGAAGATAACTGTATTTGACTCATCTGGGTGGCCCCAGAACCTATCACAGGGTCTAGCGTGTCAGAAGACACTCACTAAATGAATTCATGCATCTGGGTGGCCAGAGGCACAAGAAAACTACCCCTAGGAGGGCCAGCTGTTTGTCCCAGACCTTCCTCTGACCCTGCAGTTTCAGCAGACTCTCTAGTCCTTCCTCCCGTCACTGCTTGTGCTGTGGGCAGTGTTGGTTTCTTCCTTTATTAACTCACTCACTCATCAGATGTTTATTGAGAATTGACTACGGGCCAAGCACTGGTTGGCTCTGAAGGCTGGGAACAAAGGACACAGAAGCAAAGCCAGAGCTGGAGAGAGCAGGAAGGAGCAGGTGAGGGGACCAAGGCAGCCCCAAGGGGATGTTCAGGCGTCAGACCCGAATTTAGGTCTGCAGCATCGTGTTGTGGTTTGGCCAGGAGGCACAAGCCCAGGCACAGCCAGCTTGGTACCATAGAGGCATGGCTGGGAGCACTTGTAAACTACATTTCCCAGTCTCCTTTGCAGTTCAATAGGCCATGTGACTCCATTCTAGCCAATCAAGAAGGGGCAGAGGGGATGACTGCACTTCCCAGTCCATGCCTTAGAAATTTCCCATACAAGTCTCCGTGTCCTCTCTTGCTGCACCTGCTGGCTGAATAAAATTATGGGTGGCCTCCCAGGACCCAGAGAAAGGGAGAGCAACAATGCAGAAGGGGCCTGGGCCCCTGGGTCAGTGTTCAGAGGTGAGTTATCCAGGAAAGCCACTCAACCAGGAAGATGCCCGTGGACTGTGGTGTGGGCAAGAAATAAACTCTGACCATGTTAAAAAGTCTTTGAAATGTGGGGCTGCTTATTACAGCAGTTAGCCTGATCTGACTAAGACGGAAACCTCTTGTTGCTGTCAGTCTCTGATGCCAACCCGGAATCCTCCCGCAGCAGAGGAGCACAACCTGTGAGAGTCAGCCGTGGCTGCCCAGGACTGCTCCCCCAGCCCCATCCCCAGGACCCAGTGCAGACACCGCTTCACCCACCAATTATGCCGAACGAGAAGAGCGTCAGTTGCTTCCCCAGCTTGTCCATGCTTTTCTGTAGAGGAGTTTTAGGCGTCTGAAAGGATGAGAACAATGGGCTGGTTAGATAAGATCCCAGCAGCGTCCCCCAGCTTCTGCCTGGCTCTGATCTGTCTTGAGCAGAGTGAAGATCCCACAGGGACACACACATATAAAAATTCATTGACCGTGACACTTTAAGATCTGCGTGCGTTAGTGTAAGTTACATCTTGCCCAAAATCCTAATAAATGTCTTAAAATAAAAATAAATTTTTAAAAACTATACTCAGAATAACTATACGATCCTCATTCTTAAGGGGTAGGCAGGGCTGGCATCACTAGCTGAGAATAATCCCAAAGCCCAGCCGACAAGAAGACCAAAGCCCGCTGCAGCCCTTACCTCTTCAGCCTGCATCATCTTAAACACCTCTCCGAACTGAGACTTCTCCCCTGTCCCGATCACGACTCCCTGTGTGCGAGAGAGAAGTGTGAGGTCTGAAGCTGGGAGACCCCCCGCTGGAGACGGAGGTCGAGGCCCCCAGGGTGCCCCGGGGCTTACCTGCCCCTTCCCGCACTGCACCAGGGTCCCCATGAAGACGATGTTGCTCAGGGTGCTGAGGTCCCCTCCATCTGTCAGCGGGCTGTCTGTCTTACTGCTCGGCTCAGCTTCTCCCGTGAAACTGGACTCGTCCACCAGGAGGTCGGTGACCTTAGGGAGCAAAGGGAAGGGACGATGGAATCTGCCCGCTCACCCTGTGAACTGGTTTTAAAAGCACAGAACCGTATCCAGCACCTTAATGTCATCTGACAACAGACGACGCACAAGGGACACGTCGGCATCAGGGAACAAGTCCCAGACCATGGCCTGAGACGCCTCCAGGAATCAGAAAAGCTTTGACCTGCAGCCCCTCCCGAAAAACATAAAGTCTCATACCCTCTTTTAACATTATTTTAAATTTTAATATAAGATTAAAAAACTTAGGCAATGGTTGATTTAGAATACACCTTTCAAACACCTGGGCCTCTCTCCTAACATGCCACATCCCACCTAGCTTGGGGACTCCTGTGTGATCCATGTGGTCTGAATATCACTGAGCCAGCCCAAAGCTATGTCAACGCCAGAAACACACACACACCAGGAAAGGAGGAGGTGGGTGCTAACATTTCTAGAACACCTACTATGTACCCGGCCCTGCCCTGCTGAGCACTTTACAAGGCTTATCTCTTAATCCTCACGCCCTCCATGAAAAATGCTATGATTTTCTCCATTTTACATATGGGGAAACTGAGTCACAGAGCGATTAAGTAACTTGTTCAGGGTTACAGAGCTGCTTAGTGCCAGAGCTGAGGTTTGACCCAAGGCTGGTTCCAGAAACCGTACTCCTAACCATCCTGCAAAACTGACCAGAGACCCAGCAGGGACCACTCAAGAAGTGAGTCTCCTGTGCGCCAGATACCGCCGAGGACATAAGCGGTCTAGGGCGGGTCCTACCCCTCAGGATCTTGTCATTTGAGTGATAAGACCATCTTAGAGAAGCCATCTTCCTACAAACTCACAAGAGCGTGGTTAGATCAGCATTTCTCAAACAGGGGCCCGTGAGTTCTCTACAATTTCCAATTCTTAACTTGAAGCATTCACACCAACCCCATGGGAAAGACACTGCTCTGATTCCCCACTTGCCAGATGAGGAAACTGAGGCTCTGAGAGCTGAAGAAACTTTCCCAAGGCCCAGAGGCTGGACGTTCACAGCTGGATTCTGCACACTCCCCATTCTCCTAAGCGCAGGCCGGGCTGGGGAGGTGGGCGGGCCAGGCCGTGAATGGTCAGAGGGCAGAGCTTAGACTCGACGCCCGTGGAGCAGGAGCCACCGCAGGCTCCAGGGGTCAAGAGGCTCAGTGAACACAGAGCCTGGGAGAGGACCCTGAGGGGGCTGCGTTGGATGGACGAGACAGGGGAGGTTCGGCTGGAGTGACAGCAGCGGTGGCCCAGGCACAAGGATCTTTCACATAAAGAACCCTATTCATTGGCAACACATTAAAACGCAGGGAAACACCCCCGAGCCCGGTGATCAAGGTCAACATCAACAGCGATAGTTGTGGTGACGGCACGTACCCTTGATAGGATGAGGGGCGCTTCACCTCTGGGGTCTTCCCCACAACCCACAGCCCAAGTCTAACCCTGACAAATGTCTAACCAGAGCAATCCCAGCTGAGGCACATTCTACAGAATCCCTGACCGGTACCCTGCACAAGTGTCCAGGTCACTAAAAGCAAGGCAAGTCTGAGAAATTGTCACAGCCCAGAGGAGCCAGGGGGGACAGGACAACTAAATATCATGTGGGATCCTGGATGGGGCCTGGGAACAGGAAAAGGACATTAGGGAAAAACTAAGGAAATGTGATAAAAGCATGGACCTCAGTTAAGAATAATGGACCATTACTGGTACAAAACCAGGTGCACAGACCAATGGAACAGAATTGAAAGCCCAGAAATAAAACCACACATCTATGGACAGCTAATCTTTGACAAAGGAGCTGAGGGCATACAACGGAGAAAAGAAAGTCTTTTCAATAAATGGTGCTGGGAAAACTGGAAAGCCACATGTAAAAGAATGAAAATTGACCATTCTTTTTCACCATTCACCAAAATAAACTCAAAATGGATTAAAGACCTAAAGGTGAGACCTGAAACCATAAGGCTTCTGGAAGAAAACGTAGGCAGTACACTCTTTGACATCAGTATTAAAAGGATCTTTTCGGACACCATGCCTTCTCAGAGAAGGGAAACAATAGAAAGAATAAATGAATGGGACCTCATCAGATTAAAGAGCTTCTTCAAGGCAAATGAAAACAGGATTGAAACAAAAAAACAACCCACTAACTGGGAAAAAATATTTGCAAGTCATATATCTGACAAAGGATTAATATCCATAATATATAAAGAACTCTCGCAACTCAACCACAAAACATCAAACAACCCGATCAAAAAATGGGCTGGAGACATGAACAGACATTTCTCCAAAGAAGATACACTGATGGCCAATAGGCACATGAAAAGATGCTCATCATCGCTGATCATCAGGGAAATGCAAATCAAAACTACACTAAGATATCACCTTACACCCCTTAGAATGACAAAAATATCTAAAACTAACAGCAACAAATGTTGGAGAGGTTGCGGAGAAAAAAGAACCCTCATACACTGCTGGTGGGAATACAAACTGGTGCAGCCACTATGGAAAACAGTATAGAGATTCCTCAAAAAACTAAAAATAGAACTACCATACGATCCAGCCATCCCACTACTGGGTATTTATCCAAAGAGCTTGAAGTCAGCAATCCCAAAAGCCCTCTGCACCCCAATGTTTATTGCAGCATTATTTACAATAGCCAAGACATGGAAGCAACCTAAGTGCCCAGCAACAGACGAATGGATAAAGAAGATGTGGTACATATATACAATGGAATACTACTCAGCTGCAAAACAGAACAAAATCATTCCATTTACAATAACACGGATGGACCTTGAGAGAATTATGTTAAGTGAAATAAGCCAGCGAGAGAAGGATAATCTGTGTATGACTCCACTCATATGAGGAATTTAAAATTATGGACTAAGAACAGTTTAGTGGATACCAGGGGAAAGGTGGGGTGGGGGGTGGGCACAAAGGGTGAAGTGGTGCACCTACAACATGACTGACAAACATTAATGTACAACTGAAATTTCACAAGATTGTAACCTATCAATAACTCAATAAAAAAAAAAGAATAATGGACCATTATTGGTTCATTCGTTATAACAAATGTCCCACACTGATATACGAATTTTAACAATAGAGCAAATGGGTTTGGGACGTATGGGCTCCTCCATACTACTACCTTATTAGTTCTTCTGTAAAGTTAAAATGGCTCTAAAAAAGAAAGCAGCAACGTGTCTGGTCTCTAAGTCAGGGCTAGGCACGCAGCTTGGGCCTCCTCTGCCTAGAACAGCTGATTCATGTCCATTCCAGATCAGCTCAAAAGCCACTGCCTCCAGGAAGCCCTCTGTGACTGCATTGGGCTAGGCAAGCCTGTCCTGTTTGGGAAATCCAGAATTCCCTGTCCTTTCCCCAGCAGTCGTCGAACAGTTGCCTGTCATGAGTAAACGTGGTCTGTCCGTCACTCAGGCTATAAGCCCACAAGCGCAGGGACCACTGTCTCCTCAGCACCCAGCACAGGTTCTGGCACACAGCAGGTGCTTAAGAAATATTTGTTGAATGAATGAGCAATGGGGATATGGGGGGGGGGGGCCTTGAGGCAGGAAGGGAGGGGAGAGTGGCTTCAAGGAGGCCTCAGTGTGGTGGGGAGAATAGTAGCCCCCCATTCCATGCCCCAAAGACACCGACGTCCTAATCCTTGGCACCTGTGGATATGTTTCCCGTCATGGCAAGAGGGACTCTGCAGCCATGATGAATTAAGGGCCCTGAGGTGGGGAGATTGTCCTGGGTGATCTAGGTGGGCCCTAAATGTCATCACCAGGGTCCTTAAAAGAGGAGGGTCAGAGATGTGTCTGAGAGAGAAATGTGATGATAGAAGCCGCGGGTAGAGTGACTGGGACCGCGAGCCAAGGAGCACGGGCAGCCTCCAGAAGCTGGAAAGGGCAAGGAGCGGATTCTCCCCGGAGCCTCTGCCGGGAGGGAGGCCCGGCCAGCACCTTGATTTCCACCCAGGGAAACGGATTTTCATTCTGACTCCAGACTATGAGATGCTACATGTGTGTCGTTTAAGGCGCTTCGTCTGTAGTAACGTGTTACAGCAGCTGGAGGGACTGGACACACCGAGCAAACCCAGAGGGAGGGCCAGCGCCAGGAAGCCAGCCCCGCGAGCCACACGCAAAGACACAGCGTGCGGCGAAGGATGCGGCCCGGCAGCCGGGCGGCCAAAATCCCCCTCCCCGCGGCCCGCCTGTGACCTCTGGGGGGCTCCATCTCTCCAAGCTCTGCGCCCTTGTTGAAAAATGGGGGCACCATTCTCTTAAGGGCGTTGGGAGATGAGACGAGGCGTTTTTTATCCGTGGTCAGCGCAGACCCAGCTTTTTCCTATGTACATATTAGTTCTCTTCACATGAGAAAAATCAAGGGGGATAGAGATTAAGGGGGGTGTCTGGACCACGAAGCAGCAGCTGGTTGTGTGTGTGTGTGTGTATGGGCGTCTTCTGGTGACCTCCCAGCACCATGTCAGGCGAGGGAGCCAGTGGCCAAAAATAGAGCCGGCACACAGAAGCCGCACAATGCCAGAGGTCACCCAGGAGGTGGCTCAGCCTGAAGACTGGGTACAGTTGAGGGCTCCTGAGTGGCCCCATCACCTCCGCTCCTCACCCCCCAGTCTCCTGCCTCGAGGGTAAAGCTGACGGGGAGTCCTGACAGCTCCCTCTGCATTTTCAAAACGGTGGGAAAGAAAGGGCAGTGGCCCCGCTTGGCTGCAGTCCCACGTCTGCCTGTCACCGAGGCCTTGGCCTTCAACTCCAGGAAGAGAAGATGCTTTGTGACCCCCATACCCTATGCAAAAAGGGCCAGCACGTGGGTCACTTAACTTCAGGAACTTTCTTGAACCTACTGTTTCCTGGACCTAATGCTTTAAAATGTATATACAGCTCTCCGGGACCTCAGAGCTTAATAGCTGATAAAAATACTCCCCTGTGAATAAACAAAGCTATCGATTGTTCCGTGGAGTGGCAAAATACCAAAAAGGAGAGCTGGAGGGTTCGTGCTGGTCGCGTTGGAGAAAACCCTTTGCAGAGTCAATAACCAGGCACCATGTGAGTTCAAGTCAGCAGGGCAGGAAGGAGGCCAGCTGAAGTAGTAAGGGAGATATCTGGGGTTTAAAAATTATCTCAAAGAACCCTTAGGGAGACTGGTAATGACCCGCGCTCACGTCGGCTGCTAATAGTTGCTGACCGCTGACCCGCATCGGGGAGCGTGTCAGCCTGACACAGGTCTCGGCTGGGTTAATCTTCACAGGAGCCCCCTGAGGTGGAAATGAACGTTCCCCTTTGATAGATGAGGAAACTGAGGCTCGGTGAGGCCAATCCCCTCCTCAAAGTCACACCCTGGGAGGGGCAGGGCGGGGACGTGAAACCCAGGGCCCCCTGACTTCCCACACACGCCCCTCACTCCCCCGGCCAGGCACTGTTCTGAGCACTTTGCATCTATGAAGCCATTTAATTCTTACAACCACCCTGTGGGCACTATCGTTCCCCATTTGACAGAGGAGGAAACACAGAGAGGCTGGGCAGCTTGCTTCACTTTGTGAATGATAGGCCCCGGGCTCAAACCCAGGCTAGTGCCCAGCCCACGGCACTGACCAGCTGACCCCACGGATGTGTGTCCTCTGATTGGCGGCCCAGCATCTGGACCCAGCCCTGGACCTGGGGGGTCCCCCACCTTGGGAGGCAGAGAAGTGGACAATGTCTGACTGGCTTCCCCAGCCGTTCCCACGGGTGGGGTTTGGCCACTGGACAATGGTTCCTCTAATGGGACCCACACGCCCCAGACGTGGAGTCGGACCCTGAACGCTGGTGCAGGGAGGAGCAGATGGGGAGGAAGCCATTCTGGCACTAAGGGGCAGCAGAGACCCTGAGAGCCAGCGCCGTCTCTGCTCACCCTGGTCCCTGCCCCACCTGGAGACCGACGGCCGGGGGCAGAGGGGTTTTCCAGCCATCCCTCTGGCCCCCGTCCCTCTGGCCCTGACTCTGCTTCGACGACTGGCTAAGAATGTTATAAACACAGGTCCTGGGGTTGGCTCCCAGCCTCTTTGCCTCTCTCCACGCCTCCACGCCCAGGTGCCCAGGCCACCCTTTTAGCAGCATGCTACTGATAAATAAATGGCTCGGTAGATAACCTGTGATTAATCCTTTATCACTAAAGCCTTTGAACAATTCTTAAGCATTCTTGGAAGGAATGATAAAACAGATTACTCTCCACAGATCCCTCTGAACTTAACGTCACCCTTTCCTGAGAACCCAGGATTATCTGGGAGAGCCCCCGTATTGTTCTGTGAGGTTGGGGCACCCTGACACCCACGAAGCTTGGGGAAACAGCTTGCCCCATACCCAACATCTCCCAACGGGGCTACTGCAAGAGATTGTGCTACGTTTTATGTCTTTATTGTTCTGTTTCCCTCCTCATTATTAAAGTCTGATATTGTTTCTTTCTGAATCAGTGTAGCCGCTTCTAGAAGGAACTCTTGCCTCCTTCCTCAGCCCCACCCTGGCTTAATTCGCTGCTGTAGTCTGCTGTAAACTAGGAAAATCACGTAACCAAAATTTGTCAGGCTTATACTTAAAATGAGAATAAAAAAATCTGTGAAATACGATTTGAGGGGATTTGCGCTTAAAATGAGCTTGTTTGCTAACTTCCTGACTTGCTTGTGTGCGTGTCTGTGCGTGGATGGGTGTGAGCAGGGGAACGCCTGCCTCCATAAGCTCAGGGTCTGCACGCCCGCCGAGCGGGCTCGGGGCCCTCACCTCCGTGAGCCGGATGTCTGCGGGGATGCGGTCTCCGACGGAGAGAGACACGATGTCTCCGGGAACCAGGTCTCTGGCGAGCAGGTGCTGGAGCCTCCCTTCTCGGATGCTGCAGTGGAAACACCAAAAAGCAAGAGCGCCCCGTTGACACCCATTTTTACGCACTTGGGGAAATCTGAGCAAAGATAATAGAAGCACACTTTCTCTTTCGGTTATGGACAAACACTTGTGCCTTTTGGGTTTTATTATTTTTTAAATTCACGCATCCTAAAAGACTTTTGGGAAAGTGTGTGGCTTCTGGCGGACCCTGGGCCTCATCCGAAAAATGGGACTACTGCAGTTTATGCTGTCTGGAAACGAAGCTGGGCCACGCGGCCTCCAGAAGCTTCTGCAGGTCTAAGTCAGCGGCTCTAAAGCTCCTTCAATGGAGCTGGCAGCTGGCGGCACTTCTGTCCTCAGAGAACACACCACTCTGGTGCACAGGGACCATCTGGAGAATTCGGGGGCTTTCTGATGACCTTAGAATCAAACCCACAGGCCCTGCAAAGGCTCTCTAGCCCAGGCTGCCTCCTCCCCCACCTCCTGCCGCTCCCCCACCCTCACACTGTCCAGCCGTTGAACACACCCAGATCTTTCTAGTCTCAAGGTCTTTGCCGACCTTAATCCTGGCGCACACGTTCCCCTCTTCCTTGTTAACAGAATTCGATCCTGTTCAGGTCTTCACCCTTCTCCCCACATGTGTGCTCCAGGGGGTGGGTCATGATAGGCTGAGACTATCATGGTGAACGCAGCCCCTGCCCATGACTGGCTTAGGCACAGGCACATTCTGCAATCCTGGCCTGGGAGACATGAGTGGACACTTGCTGGGGGCTCCTGAGAAAGGTTTCCTCACTCTGTAAACACACATACACACACGGATGGCCTCTCTTTCTGTTGGACCTTTTCATGTCTGGCTGTGATGCCTGGAGCTGTGGCAGCCATCTTGGGAACAGGAGGGGAGCCAGCCAGAGAACAAAGCCAATAAGCTGAGGATGGGAGAGTAAAGAAATAAAAGGAACAAGTCCTCGATGCCATCTTAAATTAACTAACCCCTTTGTCCCTCTACCTTAGATCCTTTGCCATGAGATAACACAATTTCCTTGTGGTTTGTGCAGCTGAATTTTCTGTTCCTCGTAGCCAAGAGCACCTATGAGATAGACACCTACTGTTTTCTCAGCTCTTCCCATGGCTGGCTCCTTCTCTTTCTCAGGCCTCAACTTAAACGTCAGCTTCTCCTTAAGCAGCAGACCAGGGCAGCCTGATCACCAGCTGTGGAAAGCTGTTTCCACTCCTCCATCAGTCAATATAGCATCTCTGGGAGGTTTCTGTTTGTTTTGACTTTCATGTGGCTTTGAGATTTCGGGGTCTTTTGACTTTAATGCACGTGCCGCACTCCAAAATCGTCTTGTTCCTTCACTTTATTACCTGACTGCCCTGGTGGAAATGTGAGCACCCGAAGGCCAAGGCCTTCCCATCTTGCTCACAGGTGTAACCCCGGCCCTATTGCTTCCGGCATGCCGTAGGTGCTCAAGAAATATTTTATGACTGCACGAAGGATGGAGGGGTGCAGGAAGGGGCTGTGCAGAAGGCGTTTCTCCCACTTTGTAAGACAGGTCTCAGAGCCTCAGAGGGTGCGGCCATACGTCTCCAACGCTATTTCAACTCTACCAGGCTGCCTGCCACCACTGTTCTTGAAAAGAAACTCGCCTTTTACAAGTGACTTCTGGGGACATCAGTGATGCACACTACTCTCCCGAAAGGCCACGACTTGGTATGTAAACCTACGATCAGATCATCAAACCACGTAAACCACGTGTGCTTTCGTTTGCTCGTACGATTACCTCGCATCACACGCCTGGATTTCTGACGGCCTTGTTTGCCCAGATGTCCTTACTGCCTCCAACGAACCTTCTAGAATTGACTCATCCTCTCTCAGGCTTCCACACTGTCCTCTTTTCGTCTCTATTTTGTTATTCATTATTCTCTGCCTTGTGTTATATACACACACATGCGCGCGCACACACACACACACAACTTGCTGCCGATTCCTTGAGAGGCAGGACTCCCTCTCACTATACCTTTCTATCCCCCAGCCCTGAGGCTCACTGGTGCCATATTTACCCAAATATATGTGCAGCTTCTTCCCCAAGAATTATCCTCCAGAAAATAGTTACCGTATGTTTAGTTCCCTCCAGAGCACCTCCACTCATGGGACCCTCTCCTGACTTTCTTTGGAGCAGCAGGGCATCTTTGAGAAAGACACGTGACCCTGAAATGAACTCAACCAACCCTAGGAGGGGCGAGGGCGAAGATTTTGGCCTTTTCTGAAATCATTTCATTTTCACAAGGAGAATAAACGTATGACTTACTGGTATATTAAAAATTAAATCAAGAAAAAGCCGACCCTAACCCATCATCCCTTCTGTGCCTGTGGCTTCCTCCTCCAATGGCAGCAGCCCTCGCAGACGCCCGAAGCCCGAGCGGTCCCATCTGGCAGCCACTAGCCCACGCGGCTACTTACATTCAAATTAAATAAAAAAGGAATTCAGTCCCTGTCACCCCAGGCACCTTTGAAGACCTCAGTAGCCATATGTGACTAGTGATGCCAGACTGGACTGCATAGATTACAGAACATTCCAGAAAGTTCTATGGCACAGCACTGCGCCAAGCAGAAATGCCTGTGAGGTGTCGGCAGACATTTTTGCCTTTTCTTTTTGCTTTTTAAACGTCTTCGGTGAGGGCTGCGTGATAACAAACAGCCACACGGGAATGTCAGGCAGGAAGGAGGCTGGTGGGCTGCTGCTCAAATGCCTGGAGCTCATCCTCCCTGGTCCCACCTCCACCCCAGCGTTCTGGTGCCTCGGCTTGTTAAAGCCCCGCATCTCACCCTCAGCTGAATCCACCCTTGGGGAGGCCAGGGGAACCTCTGCACCCTCTCCCGAGGAACAGTGCATGCAGGTTTGCACGCTGTATCCCAGGTTTCATGGGCCACCCTCTTCCCAAAGCCATTCCTGCCAGCTGTGGCCCCCAGGCGAGGCACCCTGATTAGACACTAATGACAGAATTGAGGCCCAGAGAGGTCGAGTGACGTGCCCAGGGACACACAGTCATCCACGGCCAGGGCGGAGACCAGCTCTCCTAACCCCGGGAAGACCTGGTTCTGCCACATCACACTACAAAGGACACAAATCTCGCCAAGCTCACAAGCCCGCCAGCGACGCCAGTGAACCAAAGCTCCAGGGGGTCTCCGACTTACCAGTGACATTCGGGGGGAACCAGCTTGGTCAGCTCTTCCAGAGACTTCTCCGACCTGTACTCCTGGCAGGAAGCACATGGAACATGCAGTTCAAGGGTGGGAACCCCACAGAGCTCCCGCCATGCCCGGGTCACCCCAGCGGGGGCCTTAGGAAATACGCACCTGGATGAAGGCCACGGTCACCACGATCAGCACGGCCTGTGGGGCAAAGGGAGGCACGTTAGCACCCAGCTGCCCAGCGAGCGAGTGAGGGGACCCACGGGAGGCGAGGAGAGGGAATCGTCTTTCAAAACATATTCCCTTTCTTCTTGCCAAGTAAGTGCACTTGCAGAAATTTAGAAAACAGACAAGCCAAAAAAAAGGAGAGCAGAAAAATCACCCCAAATTCTACCACCTAGAGGTTCACATTTTGGGGTGCCCTTCTAGATTTTTCTGCATAGACACTCTAACAACACAGGATAATAAAATACAGATATATTCTTTTATAAACTGCCTTTTCCACCCAACAACGTGCTGTAAACATCATTCCACATCACGAGATGTGGGTCTAACCTCAGCCTTTTAAACAGAGGCAGCGCGTCCCATCACGTGGAATGGGCCTGGTTTGTATTGTAAGGAGCACAGGACAGACGGAAGGAGGCAGGAGTGACAGCCATCCAGAGGTTCCAGGAGAAGCCAGATATAAAAGGTCACACAGTGTATGATTCCATTTATACAAAATACCCAGAACGGGCAAACCCACCAGACAGAGAGGAATCGGCGGATGCCAGGGGGCAGGGGGAGCGACTGTTTAATGGATACGGGGCTTCCCTTTAGGGCGATGAAAATATTTTGGAACTAGATTTGTGAATGTACTAAATGCCACTGAAGTGATCACTTTAAAATGGTTACTTTCTTATGTGCTTTTCACCTAAATAAGAAAAATGTTTTTAAAGAAAGGTGCTCCGCGGTTCTCTCTGGGTAAAGGATTACCAGCGATTCTTCTTTGTCGTCCACACATGGCCAGGACCGAGTGGAGGGCTAGTGTCCCCAAGAGAGCACCAGCCACATAAACCAGGACCCCCCCACGTGGGGATGCAGAAGCAGGAGGATTTGCTTTCCTTTCTTCTGCTGCCGTCTTTTCTATTTTTTTCCTCTACAGCCAAACTCTTTTTTCCTCACACAAGAAGAAGCAGAGACTCAGTGGGCCCCTTGACGGCAGGTCTGGGAGCCAGGTGCTGTCCACACGCGCCATCCCGCGCACTCACCAAGGCGATGCTGATGGCGTCCTCGTACTCCTTCGTGAGGATGCTCACCAGGGCGGAGGCCAGTAGCAGCATGATCAGCGGGTTCTTAAACTGAAAGACAGAAACAGGCCACTAGGTTCTCTCCTAGCCTCCCAAAGATGGGGGACCCAGCTTCTGACCGCGCAGCAGTGCCAGCTCTTCCTCAAGGCCAGGCGGCCAGGCCAATGCTGCAGTGACCCGAGGGGAGGGGAGGAGGGCCACTGCCATCCGGCGGTTCTCATCCACCTGAAATCCCACTGCTGCAGTTTCCCTGACACTGCCCCTGTCCGGACACCGGTCCTGGTCCTGCTGTTGAATTCTTGGTCTCACCTGGCCACATCTCCATGAGGCTCCAGGTCACAAGCTGTCCCCTCTGGTAGGATGCCAGCCCTGGTCCAGCACAGCTAAGGGTCCCCTCCCGCCACACCAGTCCCCCAATCCTCTGTGTCCCAATCACACCCATCTGCTCCTGTAACTGCCTATGGGGGCTCTGGAGATGTCCCTCTTGAGAACAGGTCCTCCAGAAACTTCCCCAAAGGATTTCTACTTTATCATTCTATGTATCTGCCCCCTCGTTTCACACATACATTTCGATTGTTACAGACAACTGAAAGGAAGCATAAACACAAACACATAAAAACAGGATCAGAGACAGTAGGCCAAAGATCAGGATCAGGGTGAGAGTTAAAATATCAACAAGCAGGTCATGGTTGTCTAAAATGGGGCTGCACATTTGGCCCAGAGCTTCCCAGCAGCCAAGGCAAAAGGGGAAATGTGATCAGATGTGTGATTCATGCTGTCCACAAAAAGCAGCCCTTCAGAGACATCACGCCAGTATGATGCGAGAAGGGATTTAATGCCTCCCACCCCAGAAATGCTGTACTTTACCTTCTCTGTATGAGGGACAGGGCGCTTTGTGGTCCACTCACCAGCAGCCCTGAGTTAGCCACACCATCTGTTTTGAATCATCAAGACTGAGCAGCTCAAAGACATTTCTCCTTCTTAGCTCCACCTCCACCGTTCCCTCACTGAGAAACCTTGAGCAAGCCTGTAACTTCAGCAAGCCTCTGCTTTCTCTCGGCCGATGTGAGGACCGGAGGTGACAATGACAGTAAAGTCACCTGCCCGGTGGCTGGCATACAGTGGATGCTCAAGACATGGTGGCCACAGGGACCACCAGACTGATTACGGAAGGCACTAGATAAACATCAGGCGACAGGGGGAACTGTGGCCGCCCACGTTCCAGAAAATTGTCCCTCTATCAGGGCTTTCGGTCCCACAGCTGGCCCTTGGGGTCATCACACCTTCAGCAAGAATCGCCCCCCAAAGCCAGCTGGCCTGCTGAGCCCGGGGCTCAGGTCTGAGACACACTGGGAGTCAACTCGGGGAGGCCCTCAGGGGAGCTCCCCACGAAACTGGAACCGCATCGAAGGTCCCAGGTGGGACCTTAATCAGGTAGCAAGAGGCTTCTCCGTAAGCATCACATCTCCAATATGTAGATAAACCATCTGTGAGTTTTGTGGACCTCATAAACTGTTCCACGGGCATGGATTCACGGATCAGAAAAAGGGCTGAGATTAAAGCAACTGAAGGGACACACCACCCAAAAGTGAAAGCGGGCTGTGTTTAGACCCCGAGGATAACAAATCAGTTGTAAAGAGGCGTCTTTGAGGCACGTGGGGAACACCGGCTCTGGACCAGGCACTGGGGATGTTAACGAAGCGTTAATGGTATTAGCGGGATAATAATACTGTTGTTATGGTTAAAAAAAAAAGAAAAAGAAAAATGTCCTCCCACGGTAGAGATACGTACCCAAGTATGGATGGTAAAATGATTCTGCATCTAGAATTTGTTTTAAAATGTTGTAGAGAAAGAAAGGGGCTAACAAATGTCAAAATGGGTTGGTAACTATTGAAGCTAGATGATGGATACGTGGGGGTCATTCTGTTATTCTACTTATGCATAGTTTTGCAATTTTCTCCAATAAAATATGAAAAGAAAGCTTTTGGTGAGAGAAGTCCCAGTTTTGGTTCTGAAAGCACTGGAAAGTGCTGGGTGGGTGGGGTGCAGCCTGCAGAGGGAGGGGTTGCCGAGAGTCCTTGGGCTGGACGCAGAGCTGGCCACCTGGCAGAGCTCACAGTCACGGTCAAACAAACCACCCGCCCCAAGGAGGACTCGCCCTTTCCTCGGAAATCCAGGGAGGACAAAGAGCCAGAGAAGAAGGAAACGTGAGCGCGGAAAAGCTCGGCTCACAGAGCACGTCAGGGGCCTGGGGCTGCTGTAACACGTGAGCACAACGTGGGGGGCTGAAGACAGCGGAGACTTATTCTCCAACAGTTCCAGGGGCCAGAAGTCTGAAGCCCAGGCATCAGAGGGCCATGATGTCTCTGGAGCTGCTGGAGAGGATCCTTCCTGCCTCTTCCAGCTCCTGGTGTGGCTGCCACCCTTGGCTCGTAGATGCATCCGTCCAGTCTCCGCCTCTGTGGTCACAGGGCCTTCTCCTCTCTGTGTGGGTCTCTGAGTTTCTTCCCTTCTTATAAGGAGCCCAGTCATCGGATTTAGGGCCCACGTGAATCCACTGTGACCTCAGCTTAACTAATCACATCTACAAAGACCTTATTTCCAAACAAGGTCATCTTCTAACGTTCCAGGTGGACATGAATTTTGGGGGGACACTATGCACCCTAGTACCAAGAGGAAGAACCCCTCAGTCCAGGGGAGTTAAGAACAAGATTTTACTTCAGCCCTGAGCCCGTCACAGACTTCCCATCCAGTTGGATGGAAGTGAGAAGCATGGGGTGTTGCACAAACAGGCAGTGAATGCCCACAATGCACCGGGTTCTGGCACCTCCCGATGCCCATCAGCCTCACGCGCACCAGGCCCTCCCACCTCAGGCCCCTGCATGCCTTCCCCTATGGTGCCCTGCGTCCAGAGCCCTGCATGGCTCCCCTCCTCACATCCTGCAGCTCCCTGCTCAGACCCTGCCTCCTTTGAGCACAGGTCAATGGCTCCCTGCCCACCAGCCCTCCCCAGCCGCCCCCTGCCGTCGCTTCCTAACTCCTCATCCTGACTCTTCTCCCCACCACAGCCACCGGGTGCTGTGGTACATGCAGCCTGTCTGTCTGTCTCCCTGAAAGAAGAAATTGGTTTGGCTGCCGGTCTATGCACAGGGCCCAGATCAGGGATTTATCTGGAATGAATGAAGGAAGGGAAGAATGAACAAAGGAAGCAGTGAAGCCCCACGCTTAGGTGGGGCATCCGAGGCATGGGGGGGCTGGAGCTCCTGCTCAAGGTCGCACAGCACAGTGGAGAACAGCACGGGGTCCGTCTTGCCCCAGCTGTGTGTCCTCCCGCCCAGGTCACACTGATGATGCCTCTGGGCTCCCTGCCCCCACCTCTCGCGTCCCTGGTTGGGCAGCTCCCTCGTCCCTGCGGGCTGCACCCACTGGAGCCTCTGGGAGCGATGGGCTGTTTCTGGACAAGGGACCCTCCAGCCATGGGCTCAGGGTCAGCTCAGGGGAAGAGTCCTGGCCAGGGCCGCCCTGAGAGCTGGTCTCTAGCCAGGCCCGGACCAACTCCCTCCTCCACCCCCAATTCCAGTCCTAAAGTCTCCTCTCACCTCCGTCCTGAGGCTGGACCTGAGCAGCTCTCCAGGCTGACACTGATATCACCCACCCCCTGCCGCCACCTCCTGGAGACAGTGCCAAGCACCTGTCCTGTCCCATCCCCATGGGAGCTGCCGAGAGACACAGCAGACAGGTGAGGGAGCCACTGGGAAGAAGCCACACGCGGCACCACTGCACCTCTGGCCACAGATGATCAGACCCCTCCCGGCACGCAGGGCCCCTTCTATGCCCCGGTTGTGAAGGCAGACAGGCAGAGGGGGTTGTCGAAACCTTGCTGTGTGGGAACTGGGGATACACTGGCGATGTTTCCTACAATAAAAACAGCCAGTCTTTCTGGAGCACCCACTGTGTCCCGCGCCCTGTGCTAACTGCTCCTCCTGTATCATTTTGGGGGCCCCTCCTCCCCCAGGGCACAGGCACTGCTACGTAGTCCTGTGACAAACGAGCAACCTAAGGCTCTGAAAGAAACGGAAGTGCCCAGGGATTCCTGCAGCCCAGCTCAGCTCCGAAACCTGTGCCCTTAACTGCCGTGGTCCCATAGGACCACCTGGTAGACTCACAATTGCAGGGGGGCAACCTTTACTAAGCAGTTAATACATGCAAAGCTTTCCTCTTCTTATGGAAAACTCAGAACAGTAGGTATTCATTAGTCCCATTTTCTAGACAGGGAAAACTGAGGCTCAAGGAGGATCAATAACTTGCTCAAAGTCACAAGGCTGGAAAGAGGGATTTGAACCCGGGCAGCATGACTCTAATCTCCCTTTGCCTCATGATTCTGGGCAGCATGGCCTGTTGGTGAGTCTCCTGAGATGGAGAAGAAGGGCTGCCTTGTGAAGTGGTGAGTTCCCCGTCACTGGAGGAGAGACAGGAGAAGCACACACCCAGCAGGGAGCAGGTGCTGCACGAATGTAAAGAATTGATAAGTGAGTGCAGACGGACTTTCTGTATGTGTCAAGGGCAGGCGAACAGGCCGCTGGGCACTGCCTTCCAATCCTGCAAGGATTTCCACAGATGGATCCCTGAAGCGACAAAGTTAAGATGAATTAAGCAGGGGCCCCACTCTTAGAAATGGAAGAGGTTTCATTTCTGGAGAGGCCTTGGCTGGCGGCTGGAGGAGAGCCCTTGGTGTGAGGTTTTGGCAGGGCAGAGGTGGGAAGGGGACAGCCAGGGGAACGAGTGAGCAGGTCCTAGTGGGAGGGACAGCCAGGGCAGAACCGGCCGGGGCCGGGCTGCAGGAGGAGAATGTCCCCACAGCCTGCGTCAGCCTGCTTCCCTGAACTCCGACTTCTAGGAGGCTCTGTTGCCTCTTTCCAACATTGGGGTTCCAGGAAGTTTCTGGGTTGGCCCGAGCCACCTGCTTACCCAGAAGCCTATTGTGGAGCCAAAAGGCATCAATAAATGACATCCCCAGTGCTGAGAATGGACCAGTGAGCAGGGTGGGGACTGGAGGAGAGTGGAGGTTGAGGATGCTGCAAGGAGGGCTGTGATTGGTCTCTGAACTGACCAATCAACAAAGCCTTAAACGCTGAGCCAATAGGAAGGCAGCTGAAGCCTGGGGCGCGAGGGAGCCAGAGATGGAGAGCAAGGTGTAAGGGATGGGAGAGGGGGTGCAGAAGGCCAGGGAAGGGAAACTGAGGCAGTCTGAATGGCTTCAGGTATCTGGGGTATTCTGCCTGTTAACGGGGGCTTTCTGAACTGGTCGTGGGTGGGTGGTAGGGGTGTTGACTTCTAGGCAGGAACTTGCAGCCATGTCTATTTCAAATTTTTCTTTCCTCTTCCAACGTCTTCCAGGCGTTTGACTTGTGTGCCATCCATTCAGCACCATGCTGGCCCGGACGGCAGCGGCTAAGGAGGGCAGGGGCTCCGGAACCAGCTGTGGCGTCCCTCTCCAGCCCTGCCACTTACTGCTATGTGACTTTGGGGTCCGGTTTGGCAGATAAACTACAGGACATCCAGTTAAATTTGAATTTCAGATCCACAAGGAACTTTAAAAAAATATAAGTAGGTCCCATGCAACATTTGAGACCTACTTATACCAAAAAATTCTTCCTTGCTTATCCAGCTGAAATTCAAATTGAACAGGGCATCGCGTATCTTCGTTTGCTGTATCTGACAACCCTACGCAGCCAGGGGAAATACTGCAACTTCTCTGTACTTCACCCCCTCCTCTCAAAACGGGGACTGGGAGGAAGATTAAGTAAGTTAAGGCTGACTTTACTTACGCCGTTAGCAGGGTGCCTGGCACATGGTAAACCCTGCTTGAATGTAACAACTGTTACTCATGCCCATGGCTGCCTGGGTAGTTAGTGATCTACTCAGGCCGTCCCTCCTGCTGGCTTAGAGCAGCCCAAATGAGGGGGAGCCTTCTTTATCTTTATAGCACAGCCACCCCACGCCCTGGGACCGTCCAAGGACACCCTCTATCAATATTTAAAGAATGAATGGCTGCCCCACCCTCTCCGGCTTAGACTAGTTAATGAAAGAAATGACACCTACGGTCCTACCTGATCGAGATATTTCTTCCATGCGGGTTCGCTGTTGTCAGCGACAAACTCGTTCCAGCCGTGGACCAGCCTGCGCTGCGTCACCGAGAACTCCGACAGCCCGTTCTGTAAGTCCACCTGGAAGGAGGGAGATGATCGGGCACAAACTCACCGACGGGCCAGGGAGGACCGAGGGGCCCAAGTCACAGAGTGCCCACTCAGCCACCTTCACGACGGATGAGGAAAATGGGCTGGCCACAAAGGAGAGGGGACCAGTTCAAAGACCCTGAGCACATGGGGCAGAGAGAGAAGGAAAACCCACAGTCCCACCGCTGCATTCTTTTTCAACTAGACCACATTTCTGCCCTACAATTACAGCAGAGGAGACAACCTGGGGCCTCAGTTTCAACCAGTGCCACTGTAGTACGAAATTCTGGAAATGCAAAAGCACATATTTTCTCTTTTCATAAAAAAAAAAAACAACCCAGGACTTGGGAAGGTAAAGGGTGCAGCTGCTATAGAAAACAGTGTGTAAATTCCTCAAAAAATGAAAGAATTACCACAGGATCCAGCAATTCCACTTCTGGGTGTCTATCTACCGAAAGAATTAGGAGTGGATCTCAGAGAGAGATTTGCACACAAGGGTTCACAGCAGCATTATTCTCAATAGTCAGAAGGTGGAAGCAGCCCAAGTGTCCGTCAATGGATGAATGAGCCAGTCACAAAAAGACAAGTACTCTATGATTCCGCTGATTTGAGGTACTCAGAGTAGCCAGATTTTCAGAGGCGGAGAACAGAAGGGCGGGCGCCAGGGGCTGGAGGAAGGGAAGATGAGGAGCTCGCGTTTAAGGGGGACAGAGTCTCAGTTGTGCAAGAGGAAAAGAGTTCCGGAGACTGGTTGCACAACAGTGTGAACGAACACAACACGATTGAACTGTGCACTTAAAAATGGGTAAGATGGTAAATTTTATGTTGTGTATTTTACCACAATTTTTTAAAAAACATAAAAAAGGCAACAATAATAGGAAGAACTGTTATATTGTGCATACCCGGTGCCAGATACAACGTCAAGCTCTTGACATAAACTAAGGTTAAATATAGCTGATTGGAGTCAATAACAATGTAAGGAAACTTTGTTGTTCTGGTTGCAGCAAAGGTATCCTTGGCTTGACAAAGTCAGCCACAAGAAAGCTCCACCCGGTAGGAGAGGAGGCAGGGAAAGCCGAGTTGATTTCTTGATTCTTTTGAAGAGAGACAAAAAACCAAGCTCATTTTCCCAGTAAGGAAAAACATCTCGGCAAGGAAAAAATACTTCCTTCCCCTCTGCAAAGACTAACAAGCAGGGCTGGCATTTAAACAGACTTGCATTATTCTTAAGACTGGCATGAAACACTGACTTCCAGCTTCCTAGAAGCTGCGGCTTGTGCCCTTTTCTCAGTGGCTTCTAATTTGCTTTCCTAAAGCGTGCTGGGGTCTGAGTAAACACACACACATCACCACATTCGCTCAGTCTTTGCAGTAAAGCAAATTTCAAACATAAGCATGAAGTCCTGCAGCCTCGGAGGGCAGCTTCACGGAGCGCGGGTGGGTGTTTTTTGCTTTTGTTTTTCTGTCTCGCACTGGCCAGGAGTTCAAATTCACTTGTGGAACTTGTGGGAATTTGGTTTCAGTAATTGGCAACCCCGAGGATTATAAACGATGAAGGGTGTGGCTAGCGGATGGTTAAGAGTTTGAGCTTTGATGTCAAAGCACCTGGATTCAACTCTGGCTGTGCTGCCGTGGGACCACGTGAGTCACTGCCTTCTCTGTGTCTCCCACCAAGAGAAGCATCTCTCTGGAGTGTTGGGAGGGGGTTAGCTCTGTGGACAACAATGCTGATGGTGTTCTGCGTGGGAAATCGGAAAGGTTCAGCGTCAACAGAATTTTCTAACAATGATAATAAAAATGTAATATAACACAGAATTCTAAAGCAGCCTTCAGGACTCTGTGAGGCTTTCCTCTTCATCTCAAACCTTACCATAAATGGCATCAAAGGCAAATTCAGTTCTTACGTAAAATGCTTTGGCCAAATCCTCTCTGTGGCATTTGCTCGCCTCCTTGGGTGGCAAAGCTACCACCGTCTTCTCTTTTTCAATGGCTTTTGACTCACATGGTTCACCAATCTGCGGAGAAAGCAGGATGGCCGTTAAGGAAATTGAACTTGTGTACTGATGCACCTCTTTAAAGCATAACATACCTTTAGAAAGTGCGCGTGTCGTAAGTATACAGCTCAAATCCTCAGAAACTGACCCATATAACCAGGCTCCAAATCAAGAAAAACACATTACCAGCCCCCATAAGCTCCCTCATGCACCCGCCTGAAGGGTAGCTTCTGTCGTGATCTCTGTCACCACAGATGAGTTTTGCCAGGGTTTGAACTTTATAGAAACGCTAACATGCAATCCTCTTTCATGTCTGGCTTCTTTCACTCGATGTTGTGAGATCCACGCATGATGCTGCATGGAGCGATGGCTTGCTCATTTTCATGGCTGCATAGTACTCCACTAAATGAGTGTATCTCAATTTATTTATCCCTTCTACCACTGATGGACAATTTGGGTTGTTTCCAGTTGTTGGCTATTACTGACGCATCTGTTCTTAAGCAAACTTACTGAACAGAATTGGAAGTCGCAAAGCTGACAGAGTGAGGTAAGAGTTTACGTATTTAGAATGGTCAAACTTGAACTTTTGGGATTCTCAGTCAAATATGCACCATTTTGTAATGAATGTGCCCAATGATGACAGGTGGTATCACAGACTGTTCTGTGGGATGTTGGAAATAACCCGAGAAAATGTGTCTGGGCGTCTGAAGGCCCTGGGAGGACGCCGTACGGAACACCTGGAGGCTGACGACATGACGACAAAGAGCAGACTTCAGAATCGGGAAACTGCTAGGTATTTTTACAAAATCATTCCTGGTATTTAGCTACTCAGGACACGATAATCATCTTTTCCTTTTCCCCCAGGTTTTTGGGCACTGGGAAGGAGGAAGGGCAAAGAGGCGGTGGCTCGCCTCTTCCTTTAGCTGGAAGAGAGATGGCAAATTCCTCTTTTCCTTCTTGCTGGGCCCTCCTACCCCACTCGAATGATGTCCCAATGCCTCACGTGCTTAGGAAGCTCTGCTCACCGCATCACTTCCCGGGGCTGCTTCTCACTGGGCCAGTGACCAGGAAGCAAGCAGCCATCACACAGATCACTCGACAGGCTCTGCCCTTTGTCGCGAGCTCTCCTTAAGTCAATGCTACGTTCTTTGTTGTCAAGTTTCACTTTTAAGAGCAATGTGCGTCATAAAATGAGACAGAACCATCTCAAGATCTGGTTCAGTAAAGCGCTCGGTTCTTGCTCACGCCACAGACGGAGGCTGCCCTGGGGTTTCAGGACCTGCTGCCTTGGCTGTTCTCCATCTTGCCATTTCTTCCTGACCACGACCACACCCAATTCACTTTTTTTATACAGCATCTCAAGTGACCCTGAAAAATGTCAATCCAGTCCTCACCCCTGCCCCTCCCCCATGCTTGAAACATTTGGATAGATTCCAGGTGTTCTCAGGATAAAAACCCAACTATCTTTAACATGGCTACCGCAGACCCGCCTCATGTCCACCCTCCATGTCCTCCTGGTCGTGGTCAGGGCAGCAGTACACCTAACTAAAAACCTACTTCGTAGGCCCATGAGACACAAGGCTGCCCACTGGAGTCCCGTGTCCCCCAGGAAGGGCCCATTCTAGTGTCCCTGCAGGGGCCTCAATGGCACATTTTCGTGGCTGCCGCACCACACTTTAAATCAGGGGTCCCCACCAGGGCCAGTTTTGTCCCCAGGAGACACTGGCAATGCCTGGAGACTTGTTTAGTTGTCATGACTGGGGGGGGGCAGGGATGCTACTGGCATCCAGTGGGCAGAGCCCAGACACGCTGCCAAGCATCCCACAATGCATAGGACGCCCCCATAGCAAGGCATGATCCGGCACAAAGTGTCTGCAATGCTGAGGGCGAGGAACCTGCTCTAGAGACAGATGGGTTAGTCTGTCCTGATGTCCTCCCAGACCAGGTTAGTCCACCTGCTGTCCCCTCTCAGCATCCTGGACTGCTCCTTGATGGCACCTGCACAACTGGCAGCAAGTGGTCATCACTTAAGTGCCCTTATCCACTCAGAACGCAGCCACTCTGCAAGGTGGGGACCAGTGCCTGGGCCACGCGGGCTGCAGCACAAGCATCTGTCAGTCAGAGCTCAGGACAGCCATTGAAATGTCCGTGTGCTCAGCTGCACTATATGGATGACTGCGTACATGCTCTCAGCCACAAGGGCAACCCTCACGGTCAGGGCTGCCCTGGAGACACTCCCGCTCCGCTTGCTAGCTGGTCACCTAGGGGGATCACAATTTCTTCATCTGCGAAATGGGGATGATGATGTCCACCTTGTGATGCTTTTGAAGAATCAAGCGAGTGCACGCATGCCGAGGGCTCGACGCAGCCAGACCCGCCATGAGCTCCCAGCGAATGCTGGCTCAGAACATGTGGTGGGGACCAGACGTCCAGTGCTTGTTAAGAATCACAGTGATGGTGACTTCACTTGGATGGCTCAGCTGTGTTTAGGAAACTCGAGAGCAGGAAGCAGCACAGGGCAAGCAAAGGAGCCCAGAGGTAGGAACCGCACAGACCTGGGTTGAGGCTCTGTCACTGACCAGCCCTGTCACCAGGGACGATGATCTGTGGGTCTCAGGTAGTTCTGAAGATTAAAAAACCAACTCCGTAAATGCACCTTGCACGTGGCAGGTGCGTTCAGCAAATATTCCACAAACGACCAGCAACCTAAAGAATCAGAGGGATCGGGGTGTGGGGTGGGGGTGGGGGGCAACCCTGGAGCAGGTGGCTTCTCTCTGTGACTTTGTCTTCCTGGGGACTGATCTTCTGTTTCTCTGAGAGGTTGAGGTTTCTACAAGTCAGTCTAGAAGATGCACAAATGCTTGAATCTGTGTTTTTAGTAAACACTGAAACTTCAGGTGGGAAAACTGTGAATTCTGTTCTTAAAAGTCCCCCTTGATTTGCATTTGACACTAGTCTCAAATAATTTCTTTATATTTCAGTTTTAAAAAAAGGTCCATCGGCAGATGATGGATAAACAAAACATGGTCTGTCCACAACAATGGAATAATATTATTCAGCCTTAAAAAGGAAGGACATCTTGACATATGCTACAACATTGATGGACCTTGAGGACACTATGCTGAGTGAAATAAGCCAGTCACAAAAGGACAAATGCTGTAGGATTCCACTTATATGCAGCACTTAGGTAGACAAATTCACGGAGACAGAACGCAGAGTAGCGGTTACCAGGGCTGAGGCAGGGAGATGGGGAGCGAGTGTTAACGGGGACAGAGTATCAGTTTGGGAAGATGGAAAAGTTCTGGAGACGGATGGTGGGGATGGCTGCACAGCAACGTGAATGTGCTTAATGCCACTGAACTATATGCTTGAAAATGGCTAAGACGGTAAATGTCATGTTATGTATATTTTACCAAGCAGACAAAAAACCCAGAACAACAACAAAAAGGATCAAAGGAACCCACTCCCCCTGGCTTTGTGGGCTGAGGCCAGCAGGTGTTCCCACCCTCCTCCGGGACTCTCGGTGTCCGAGGCTGTCCAAGTGCACGACCCTGGGAGCCAGCCAAGTGGTGGAAAGAGGCTTGTGTGGTTAAGGGGAGGGGCCGGACAGGCCTCCAGGAGACTCCTGCCCACCCGCTGCGTCCTGTGACTGCAGGGCGGAGTCTGAGCCTAAAGAGGGCCGACGCTTGGCTTCCAACTGTGCTCTGTGAGCAAACGCCATTTCCACACTCCCAGCTATGTGACCACAGAACCAAAAACAGGGACTCCAATAAGGACCCGTGCATGGACGTGCAGAGCAGCCCGAGTCACCGCGGCTCAAGCGTCCATGACAATGGATACACAACATGCGGAACAGCCACACGACGGAATAGTGTTCCGCCTTAAAGAGCAATGAAGTGCTGACACAGGCTGTGTTGTGGGTTGAACGGTGTCCCCTCAGAAAAGATATCTTGAAGTCCTAACCCCAGTACCTCAGCATGTGACCTCATTCAGAAACAGGATCTTTACAGAGGGAACCAGGTTACAATGAGGTCATGAGGATGGGCCCCAATCGAATGGGACTGGTGTCCTTATAAGAAGGAGAAATTCAGACACTGATGGAGACGCACAGAGGAAGGATGACGTGAAGACACAGGGAGACGACAGCCACGTGAACAGCAGGGCCTCCACCGGCCACGGGCACCGAGGACGGCGGCAACCCCAGAGCTAAGAGAAAGAACTGGACCAGACTCTCCTCCAGAGGCTCAGAGAGAGCACAGCCCTGCCAGCTGCTCGATTCTGGACTTGTGGCCTCCAGAGCTGCGGAATAAATTTCTGTTGATTTCAGCCACATATTTTTGGTATTTGGGGACAGCAGCCCTAAGAAAATGAACACCTTCTACAATACGGATGAACCTCGAAAACATGATGCTGCGTGAAAGAAGCCAGTCACAAGAGATCATATATCAGCTGATCCCACTTTTATGAAATATCCAGAAGAGGCAAATCCGTAGAGACAGGAAGTAGATTGGGGTTGCCAGGGGCTGGGGGAGGCAGGGGGAGTGACTGCCAACGGGTGCGAGGCTTCCTGGAGGGGTGACAAAGTGTTTTGGAACCCTCCACTGGGGGTTCCACTAGAAACACTGGTCACGCAACAGTGTGAACGTACTAGATGCCATTGAGTTGTTCCCTTTAAAATGGTTAGTTTTATGTTATGTGAATTTCACCACAATAAAATTCTTTTAAAAAAGCATCTTTCAAAAGCCATTTACAAGCCGCAGACGGGAACCCCCTCCGTGACCTTGAACTAACGGGCACCCCTGACTCGCTCCTGGGTCCCGCTTGTTTCAGTTCTCAGACCTCCGCCCCGCGCCCGCCCCAGGCGACTTTCCATCTGGCTCTTCACTCTGTCTCCCCATGAGCATCTCAATATGGTTTTCCAGCTTAAACACAACCTTCTTTCTGGGCTTCACGCTGGAGATGTCGCTCTTTCCCCTCATTCACCAAAATCGAGCTCAGGAAAGTCGTCTACACTCGCCAGC